CAGTTGGTTTTCATTCTTACAAGTTTTAAGTCAACCTGTCTTCATAGGCATAGATACAATTTTTCTCCTTTGTACGTGTTCAAAAGCTTTCTTTATATCGATAGAAGCTAGATATGTCTATTTTGCAACTGCCAATGTTCGTATAATAAGTCGGAATAAATAGAATAAATCGGAATTTTGAAATACACTCTGTGACTTCAACAGTTACGGTTCTATAAATAATTATCAGCCTCTTTTTCACGACATTCAGCTCTATTTGTGCTATTTGCCAATTTTGTGGAATCTTTTTTCTCTCCAGGCTTTATTACAAACTAAATACATTAATTCGATCATTCTGCCTCTCCCTCATTCTTCATTATTTCCACTGTGATGCAATCTTCTATTGAGTTCTGTGCCTGTTGTTGAACTTCCTACCAAATTCGTTTCATGTTCCCTCCTTTGCGCGAGTAACTATTTTCTTATAAATATTTTTGGAACGTCTCGAAAGTACCTTGGCTATTTTTTTACCATTATGCTGTAATATTGTACCACATACTTTTTTTGCTGCTGCAGTAGTAACTATCTTAAATAGTTGATACACGTTTTGTTGCACTTCTGTTTTCCCTTTCTTTATCTCATATTCTTTTTGTGATATTACCATTGCTACAACCGGTTGATGTTAACTAATCTTCTGTTCTCCATTTTCACCTTGGCAAACTCTATAATGATTGCTGGTTTCTGCGTGCTTGAATCTTCGCAAATTTGTGAATATTTTTGTGTTTATAAAATTTATTAGCAATAACTAGGTCGTTTATAAGACGAAAATGCCTTATTCCATTATTATTTCTTTTAATTTTTGCAAAGTTGTCAATCACATTTCCATATTCTGAATTTCTTTCTTCAACTCAAATATTGAAATCTCCCAGAATAAAAACATCTTCATCTGCAAATTGATCTTATATCAGGTCATTTCCTCGTTCTCCTCATTCATTTTCTTACTTTTTGAGTTCAATGAGATAACGTGTATCCAGTTCATATAGTCCCCTCTTTTTTTTCTTTTTTCTGATTTCGGCCTTTCAAACTCTCATTCTAGCTCCTTTTTCTTTCCATTAATGTTTCTAATATTCCAAATGCCCATCCTCGTTATTTTCTTATGATTTTTGTCCCTCTATTCTAAAGTTTATTTCAATCCTTCCTTAAAGTTACTCCCATTAATTTTCAGGCCTGTTATAACTACAGAGTTATAACTATGTTGGTTTGCTTATTACCTCTTTGTATTTGTTCTAAACGTATGTACTTTCATTTTTCTTATGATCATACCCATTTCTCAGTTGTTCCCAGCTTTTTGTTTTCCTCCGTATTACGATCAATCTTCTCTATCATTTCTCTAAATATTTTTTCTATTCTCTCCATATTTCAGAGTTTGAAAAAAAATTGTTAGTTCTACAGTTCTTCAGTTCTACAAAATATTTTTTTTTTGATTACTTTACTTACTGTTGCTTCCAATTTCCTCTTGCTGTCTAAATCAATGGGTTCGTAATTGAATCTTAAATTCACGCTGGTCACGCTAGATTCAATAGTTTATAGACAATACCACTAACGGTTTATTATTAATAATTATATTAAAACACAATTGAATGGGTTTTGTCTACAGAGGCCACGGAATGAGCTGACATAGCAAACTATCTCTCAATTTTTTAATCTCGAACTATTCGGAGTCTACCATGACGACATGAATTCGCAATATTATAAAAAATAATTGATAGAGAAGCTGATTTCAAATCTCCTAATTGTATTGTTGTAATTGATAACGTATCATATCACAATGTACAAATACAGAAAGCACTTAATATCAACTCCCAAAAGAGCTAACGTTGTGGCTACTTCAATTTTTCTACCGTATCTCACCTATGTTGTGTACAACATAACGGCGATTTTATTTGAATAGGAACTAAATTTATTATTGTATTTACTCACTAATATTGTATGTTTACATAAAAAGATTTAGTTAAAGAAACTGTTTAACATACTACATATTCCCCCAACAGCACCATTTTGTATAAACCTGAAATGTTGTATCAAATTTAGAGATAAACTTTAGTTAACGTTTACAGAGAAAGCTGATGATGTATGATTTAAATGGTAACTTGTGAATTAGCGTCTCATCAAACGTGATTGTTGTGAAAATTAATTTTCTATTCTTAGTAAAACCAGCTTCAATGAATTCGAACCGTATGGCAGCTGTTCGCAAAAAACACTCAGAACATCCTACTTGCTTAACGATGTTCGGAGTAGCTTCTACTTGTTGAATATGGTGAGATTATTGCCCTTACCATGCGGTGAAGTTGCTCATGAAGAGTTCTTCTAACAAAAGAGCTGCTTAAAGAATTGTGTAGCGACAACACAACATACATAGGAATGGCTATTGGACTAACAAAGAAAATACCAGTAATGTCGAGTATATTAGGCAGTGTGACAGCCTTTTAGCTCTATATTATTCAACGTCATGGGAGAAATTATTAAGAATGTCAAGACCGTTAGTGACGGGTACAGAATGCGAAACAAACAAATTAAAATAATTTGTTCGTTGCCTTCTAATATCCGAAGATGAACACAATTTGAAGCAACTGCAAAAAAATTAAACATGACCATTTATACTTAAAACACTCTATCAAGAGTGTTTTACCAAGAAGATGCAAACTAGCGATATACAATCAAAGTGTAGAACAGGTAATGAGTTTCAAATACCTGGGAACCTGCATAACCAGCAATAGAAACTCAAAGACTATATCAGGATATTTTCTTCTTCTTCCAGTGGCGTTACAGCCCAGACTGGCCTTAACCTCCTTCAATTTATTCCTCCAGAAATTCCTGCTCCTCGCAGCCGCTCGCAAATTCCTTCCTCTAAGCAATTACAACGCATCCCTCTTTATGTTGTTATCCGAACAAGATCTTCCCCTTCGTCGGTTTGTGGCCGGTTGATCTGTCATTACTCTTTTAGGAACTCTCCTTTCATTCAATCGTTCAACGTGTCCACTGAAGTATTTGGATCTTTACAAATCTTATAATATATAACTCTCCCAGTTCGTAGTTACATCGAATTCTCAAACCGTCGCCTTTGTTTATTTTCCTCTTATCAAAGTTTTATATATAGTAATTTTATCGTCCCCAACCATACATTTTTGTCTTAGCCTGTGTGCAGTTGTCAGCCCCATTCATTTTTTTTTATCTATATTTATAAGTAACCCTACACTGTGTGCACTCTCCTTCAGTTCATCATAGCAGTCCTTCATTCCTTGTTTGTATCTTCCCGTTATGACGATGGGTGCGATGAATAAAACAGTAGTAAATGCTAATTCTACAATACTGAAGTAAATTCTATGATTGTGAAGCAGGTTCTACTAATTGTAGTAAATACTTCGATATTTCCCGGATGTTACTTTATCAGTAGTTTGTTGTGTAGACAGTCGACGTTTTTTACTACAAAGGGAATGCTACTTTGTAGCATGTACTACTCTATTTCAATGATTGCTTCACTTTTAGCGAAGCTTATGAAAGGCCAGTTTCGTTAATCTTGCTACGATGCTACAGTATTAAACATTGCGAAAGTTCCTCAAAAAGTTGTACAGCGGATTTGTTTAGAACTAGATATTCAAGATCGCCAGCTGATAAATAGTAAAATTCTTAGCTATCACTACAAAATTTCAAAAAGCTTTGAGAAGCGATGTGGAACTACTGCTATCACCACCATGAAAACCCAATTGTATCGAAGACATCTGATATTTCTCGACAAAACGGCTTCACAATTATGAGAAAATAAAGAATATCATTGAGATCTTTATCATTGAATAATGGGATAACTACAGCTATCGTCCTCACAACAAAAATATGGTATATCTAACAGTACTCAAAAGCTATAATTGATTGAGCACAATGACACCTGATACCTCCTGACTCTTCACCTATAGAAAACAAATGAGTAAACGTTGGTGAGACGTGAACTAACACGTTGTTTCTACTAGTAATATTTACTTTAAATCGTATAGTTCGTACTACATATATGAGTAAATTTTACCAGAACTAAAGGCGTACTACATCCGAAAGTTGCTATGCAGTAAATTCTTTTTCCTCAAGCATTACCATGTACTACTTTTTTATTCAACCCACCCGATGTCATCTGCGTATCAGAGTATCTACGTAACATAATATTTAGAAACAAACATAGGAGTACCAAAAGTAAGGTCAGAATATTTAAAAAATGTATAAGGCCCATCATAACATACTTCGTAGAAATAAGAGCGAAAAGTGCCACCACAACTTAACTTCTAAGGACTACTAAAATGAAAAGTCTAAAAGTAATAAACGGCAGAGAGACAACGCATCACAAACACATGTGGCATTCAGGACATTGTTAGATGGACCAGCAAGTTAAGAAGATGTTTGACAAAATGGCTAAGGACCGATTGGCGAATATTGCTAAAGAAGGGAAATCAGCCGCGTTAAGACGCCCGGGAAGATCACAGAAGCTGGAAGACAAGCTGGACATCAAGATTACAAGATGGACCATAAGGAGGCACATATTAGTATATACAGGACAAAGTCCTAAATTAATAAGAAGAACAGAACAGATATCTTGCAAATGGATTCCTCATAATGTAATTTTAATATTTGTATGTTTTCGCAAATAAAATAAATATTGTAGTCTTGTAGATATTTTTCTTTCCAATAGTACTTACTTGCCACACATTTTTATTAAAGTTATACGGTTTTCTGAATAGTTTTCTGTATGTGATATCGCACAGACTACCTAATATTTTCTTCTATATTCTAACTATCCCCTTCATCTAAAACGTGGATTGCAAGTATACCTTTTTTGATATTCCAATTTTCACTGTTCATTTTTCAGTTTGTTTATCGTTACTCAACAATTATTGTAACCTAACTTGCAAAAAGTAATTAATTTATATATAAATTAAATGAAACACTTATTTCCAACATCTTATTTGTTGTCTTTTTTTCAGATCTCGTCTCAACACTAACTAATTGAACCAACCACCGCCTGTAGTTATAATGGCAGATACAAGCCAATCAGAATTAAAATCTCCTCCGCACACCAACGGTGTTCTACCAACGGACGGTATCGATGAAGAAGATCGCGCGAAAATGCGCCCCGCTGACATAGACGCCGACGTAAAAGAAATGGAACGTCGTAAACGTGTCGACATGATCATGTCGAGTAAACTCTTCCGCGAGGAACTCGAGCGAATCATTGAAACCCAATTAAAAGACGGCAGCGGATCTGCAAGCGGACTTATGCAACAAATTTCGGATATGATGGGTGTTGGTAAAACCGCTGGAAACACGTTTAAAGCTTCCAATTGCGTCGTCCCGATCAACGACATCCGGGGAATAGAAGCGATGGGTTATGCAAAAGGTGAAAAGATTTTAAGATGTAAATTAGCGGCCGTTTTTAGATTAGTCGATTTGTACGGGTGGAGTCAGGGGACGAGTACGTTGATAACTGCCAGACTGAATCAAGATGAAGAACATTTTTTGGTCAATCCGTACGGAATGTTGTTCCATGAAATTACTGCGAGCAGTTTAATTAAGGTGGATATGCAAGGACAGGTGGTTGAACAGGGAACGACAAATTTTGGGGTGAATATAGCTAGCTTTTCATTACACGCCGCCGTTCATTCGTCGAGACCGGATATCAAGTGTATTATTCATGTACGGACGCCATCTGTTGTGGCTGTTTCCGCCCTTAAATGTGGTATACTCCCCGTCAGGTACGTAATAAAATTAAAAAGTAATTTTATATTATATAAATTTGTGTTTTAATTAGTGAACAAGCGGTTGTAATTGGCGAAACTAGTACTCACGTACATCTCGGCGGAATCCTTTCCACCGAAGAAATCGAAAAAATCGCTCGGAATCTTGGTCCAAACAACAAAGTTCTTATCCTAACCAACCAAGGTATCATCTGCTGTGGCGAAACGATTGAGGAATGCTTCTTTAATGCACGCAATGCTGTTTTGGCATGTGAACAACAACTAAAATTGATGCCAGTCGGCATTGACAACTTGGTGCTAATTACCGATGAGCAACGCAAAAAACTTTATGATGCTGCGCACAAAGCACCCGAAAGCACTCCACGTCCGGACCAACCTAGCGTGCTTGAAGGAAAAGTAGAAAGAAAGTGGAGAGTTGGCGGTGTCGAATTCGAGGCATTAATGCGAATGTTGGATAATGCTGGATTCCGTACAGGGTATATTTATAGACACCCCTTGGTGAAAGGGGAACCACCTAAGCCGAGGAATGACGTTGAAGTACCCCCTGCGGTATCTTCATTGGGGTATTTGTTAGAGGAAGAAGAATTATACAGACAAGGGTAAGTAAATAATTAAATATAAAACTAAAATGATGGATTTTTAAATGTCGGTGAAGTTTTAAAAGCTTTTATTGGAATTATTGGTTTGGGTTGGGTTTGGATTAGTATCAGTGCACATTATAAAATCGTTATCAATTTATTATCGTCTTTATTAGATACGTGAATTATACTTCAAGTTAGAGAACTAAATGTATTATGAATGTAAAGATCTTATCTTATCGAATTGCAAATATTAAAAAGTATAAATAGACCGATCCATATTTAAATTACATCGACGCTCTAGATATATAGAGATTTACACAGATTTTTATTGTGTAGTATTAAAGCCATTAAATGTTGTCTTTTAATATCTATTTTTTTCTTCAAACGTCATTGCATGACTCACTTCAAGGAAAATATCAAAATAATCGTTGCTACCACTTTTTGAATCTTCTGTAGACCTCATAAATGACTCGCAATCTATATGCTTTGAGAGCCTCTTCCATGTATTTGTTGTAATATGTTCCATTTGAGCTTAACCCCTTGTGTACCATCTAACTTATAGTGGATACACGCTATGTGTAGGGCAAAATCCCATTGTAACCTCATATTACTTATTTAGGTGTGTAACTAGTACAGGAACATTATAAGACAGTCTGGCAAGCGGTTAAATTTGTACTTTTAAACAATTTTTTTTAAAGCATGTGTGACAAAGGTCCCTGACTTTTATTAAAATGACAGCCGCATCTACTCTCTCGTTATATTCTCTCTTATCTCGTTATCTTCTTCCCTCTTGAACTTATTATGTTATGAAATTAAGTAATTGTCAAAATGTATAAGGTATGGTTTTTGCCATTCTACTTCAGTGAGACTGAAATTATCTCTCATGAAGCACAAATCCTGAATATTTAAAGTTTACTGTTTGATTTTTTCATTTATTTCATTATATTTGAAACTCTTCATAAAACCATCTTGTCACATAAATGTTAAAGATTGTAGACGCTTTCTCAGGTCCATACAATTATACTGCTTTATTGAATTTCGAACTTTAAATGTGGTTATGGATTTATCTACGGATAACTTCTTAGTATCAATGTAAAGACAGTTAAATACAGTGTGTCGGTAAAGTCACTTTTGACTGGTCACAGGAAAGCAACAAAGCAAGATAGAAATGTGTAATCTTCACCAAATAAAAGGTAAACTCGCCTAGTTTCGTTTGGAGCTCTCCGTCGGTTTGATGGCGTGCAACTGCTGCAATTTGTAGTGTAAAAACGCAGACTTCTTCAACACCTTATCATCTGTATTCTTGTTTTGGTGTAATTGTTGAGCACACGCAGGCACAAATTTTTTAGGACTAGTATAGCCTTTATAGACCCGCCACTTAGCAATGGCCTTCCAGGACGGGGTTTGTCCAACAAACTGCCAATATCTTATCCCACCAATTCATGTTATTCCTATGTGGTGGTGTTTCGTTGTACACGCGAATTTAGCAAGCTATAGAACAAGTTGAACCGTCCTCTGTACTGTTCACATCTCAACAGTCGTGGCCTGGTAAGCTGCTGTGCAGTTCGTGATCCTTACACATCATGATATGAAAAGTTTCATCAAATTTATCCCTTAGATATTGCAGAAGATACTAGAGGAACACTTCAATCTGTCGATGTAGATCAATTAAGTGTCAATTAAGAAACTTTTGATAACTCATTAACATATTCAAACTTACGAAGAGTAACAGTTAGTCAGATTATTTTCTCCAATTTGTAATAAACAGTCTGCTTCTCCGTGATCCAAAAAGGTCATGCTGTTAAATAAATCATTTCCTCCATCCCATTCTGTTCGTGGTCAGTTTTTCTGCATCTTTTCAGTTTAAATTTCTACTTTTTGGAATTTATAGAAAGTGTAGAGAGTATTTATACCTGTGCGGTTTGGAGGGTCGCGGTAAGGATAGGATGCTCTTTGGAGACTACTTAGTAAGTGTAAAATGAATTTTGCAAATACTTCAAAATAATTTAAGGACACCCAACGTTACAGCGTTCCCATAAGCGACCATTACATAGTAGGCTGCTATGCCTAATGAAGGCATCATTGGGCCTTATTTTGATCAATGTGGCCTCATGATTTCAACAAGTTGGATCAATCACTTGACGTTCTCGAATTTCTCTTCGAGGCCCCCGAGGGATGCCGAACTTATATCCCTTGATTATTTCTTATGAGGATATCTTAAAGAGAATGTGTATACAAAGTACGAACTCTACTGCAATTAAAGCACAATATCCGCACTGAAATTCTCGTCGTTTCCAGAGAGTTGTCGACACTGCCAAGCCTCGTTTTGGCTATATATATAACGATATTTACTTGATTTTTCAGGAAACAAACAAATTGATCACGTCGTATTACTAATAATACTTTATTCCTCCATTTTACAAAAAAAGCGTAGAGTGCGTCAATTTAACAATAATTACATTGTAATATAATACAAATTGAATTCAAACATTAAATTGGAAAAACATGTCAATGGTATTCATCTGATTTTCCGTGGCAAGTCTTCTCCAGAATCTTGAAACTGGCAGGATCTTTGTACCCTACGAAATATGATTGTAGATCTTGATACTCTGGTACAGAGCCGTTTTCTGAATCATAGTAAGGTGCGTTTTTGGTGACACCAGATAGCAGTTCACCTTCCCGCGTGTGTCTCGAGGATGCGATATTTCATATTTTTTGAAAAATTCAAAGTAATTTTTCCTATAAAAAATAGAATAGTATTCAAATAGCCATTCGCGCAATCTTTAAGTCAATATTGTAGTGATTTACGATTATTTGCAGTTATGTAGCTTTAACAGTTGGATGCAGATTTAAAAATCCTGTTCAACGGTGTAGGTACAAACCTGGCTAATCTCCGTGTTCGATTAAAGTAGTGCCAGCAGCGCGAGGGTCAAAATTTCGACAACATAATTTTTGGAATTTAATTTTCTAAAATGTTGTCTAAAGATCAATAATAGAAAAACGTTTCTTTATGGGTGTCTTTTTTTGTATTGAATTTAGAAATATCTCATACTCCTTCAGACACCTTGCGATTTTTTTTCTGTTGCTTTGTTTTCCATATCATTTTTGCCAGTTTATTAATATTTGGGTGACATACACCTAATTTTTGCAAAATTTCTCAGATATTTCATCTTGTGTTCCTTGTATTTTAGAATACTATTATGTCTTTTGATAAATTTAGGTTCTGTAGGATTTTTTTTTAAGTTTAGATTGTCATCATTTTAATTCACTTTGTTCTGTTTATAATTATTAGCCGATTTCAGTTCTTAATATTGATTGTAATATTAACTCACATTATTTACACTCCATATTCTTAATTACGAAATTCTTCCATTATTACCGCATTCTGTCGTATCTCGCGTTTTGTAAATAGGTTGAATAACCCCATTAGACCATTCATTCATAAAATACGCAAACCCATTCGTTAGCACTTTTATTGAAATATTTTATCATCTTTGGTGCTATATCATCACTTCTTGGTATCTCGCCAAATTTAATTTTGCTTTGTTAGTCTCCCATCTAATTTTATCCTTATTCTTACGATTAGATTCTTATAAATTCAACCCTTATTTATATTAACTTCGCTTGTTTCCGTTTTTGTTTTCTATATGTCACGAATTCTGTAAACTATTCTTTTTACATTCTTACAATCACTTCCGGTTTAATATTGCTTATTTTTGATAAATTTTGTTATCATTTGGTTTTATTTTTCATAGCGTTTAAAGCTCTAAAATTTGGAATTTTCTATGCTGTTTCTTGTAATAGTTGTGCTAAAAGTTTCGCAACTCTGCTTCTTTCCTTCTATTACTGTTATTTTTTATTTTCATTATTGAATAAAATATTCCCAATATTTACTATCATTTTGTTTTCTTTTTATTATTTCCCTTTATTTCGTTATTACTTGCCTAAACATAACTAAATATGCGTATAATTTTCACCTTTATGAAGTATCTAAGCTTAGTCCTCAATTTCACCAAATAGTGAGACTAACTCAAAAATGTCTAATTCATACTCCTCCCTATTTTAGTAGAGGTTACTAAAATTAGGATTTCGAGTATTAAGTTATTCTAATTTGAATCCCTGTATTCAATATGCTTTTTTTTTGAAAAATTGGTAAAAGAATAGAAAAAGGGGTCTCTCTTCAGTCGTTGTCCGATTTGTGACTCGTTCATACAACCGCCATGACCCTTCGCCATGTCTCCCTGTCTTCTATAGTACGCATCACTTGGGAAACCGACATTTATGCCAGATCCTTTACTTGGTCTATATATCTCATCAGTAACCTGTGTCTTGACCTTTTGCCCTCAATCTTCCTCTGTGTCGTGAGTTTTTCCATGTCGTCCATCCATATAACCGAAGAATATAAGTATGCTTTAGGATTCTGAGCTATATGTTGTAGTTGGAAACACTGAACATATCAGAAGTCTTTTTTAAGTTTCTTTGTGGATACAGTGGTCTTTCCAGATTTTAACTAGTCTCTCCACCAACGGTCTCTTGCCAATCCGATTCTTCTCTTTGTTTCTTGCTCTGAGTTTTGGACTTCTACCTGGACTTTCTTTGAAGATTGACAATTTTTAATAATTAATTTTTCTTCTAAAATACGTTTTCGTACCGGTTTATGTTTTGATACACCACTTCCTTTACCTTACTTTATTTAATGATTATTTCAAGTTTATTGTTAAAAAGTATCCCTCAAGATTTAATGTTTTTTTTGACTTTCTTATCATTGTTGGTGCTGATGTATTTTAATTTTTTTTAAATATCATTAACAGATTCTTATTTTTGTCATTTGATCTCTCTTGACCCCAGTAATATTCTGACGTAAACTTTTTTTTAGGCCATAGGCAAATCTATCAGCAAATTTTTACAAAAATAATTCAAAAAATTCTTTTTCTTTCGGCTAGAAACTTATGCATATAAACATTCGACCACTCTTCGTCCAAATTTAAATTCTGTCACTATAACATTCTTGTAACGTTTTGCTATTGCTATCTAACTCATATATTATTTTACTCTAGAAACGTTTATACGCCAAATGTTTATACCTAAACACAATTCTACAATTTAAGATTAAATATTTGATCTACAAATTGTATTAATTATCAATTTATTATGTTTTTGTATTCACATTTTGTGGAATATCTCTTTTGTGATTTGGTTCCACATAAATAATATTTGCGAACATGAAATATAATAAAGAATGTTTAAAGTAATTTATTTACATACGGTGTAGTCCAAGGATTTAAAATTTAAATTCGGTAGTGTAAATGTCTTTGAAACGAAAAAATTGGCATATATGAGCCATTACCGATCCGGTGATCATAAATTAAAAAATAAAAATAGATCAAGAGAAAAATAGACGATTACTTCCTCGTTCGACGTTAAAAATAACTTCGTTTTTATCTGCCTTTGGCACTTCGTCATTTACTTACGTTATATGTGTTGAATATGATTGAGATAGAGATTGCAAAAGCTGCGGAGATAACAAGGATAAACAAAGATATTCTGATCTTTCAGAAAATGGTATTTTTTTTATTACAATTAATTACGATTTGATATGTTTCAAGATATTTATTCAGAATCGTATTTTCCTTCCGGTATTCTCACATGAGTGAAAATGGTGTTTTATCGATTTCGTCAAAATATCATTTTGTTAATTAAAATGTACAACATATTCCGCTAACGGATCTAATTTAACGTATGAAAGCTCGTTTGTCTTTCCCGGATGAACGAAGTGAACCGACGGATACGGCGCCACGTTTTAATACCTTGTCATTAGCGATTAATTGCGTTAGTCGCAAAACAAGAAATCACCCATTGAAAACAGCAATTTCCTACATATATAAAACAGTATTCTACTGAGGATTGAAGTGCATGTTTAACTTTGTAGGATGTTCTTTAACTCTTTTATTGCTAATGGCTATTAAACAAAGCTGAAAAATATTACGATAATAATACGTTTAAATAACACACACACTTCACTAACACTTGTGGGGAATATTGTTGAGGTTCACGGCGTTGATTTAGATTTTCTGTTATTCAGTATTTGTAGTTTTTATAGTTAAGGAACCGTAAAATATGGCATCTTGTCATTCATAAAAATTAACGCATATGGTTCATAATCGTAAATATCGCATATGTGCAGTGAAATCTTGCCCTTATAATTTATTCACAACAACAATATTATACAAATGATATTACTGATTAATTTCTGAAATCCGTCTTACAACTTCTTCGTACATACAAGTTGTTAAATTTTAATTATATATGTGTAAATAGCCGAATGCTATTTAATCCATTAACTAAATAGGTATATTAATAAAATATACAAAAAAATGGATTTTATTTTGTGTATAACTTTATTTGTTATCAATGTTTTGACAAGAAGAAGCTGATCTGCAGTATTTGCTTAACCTTGAATAGTTGGTCTATGGTATGTGTATCTTCTTTTCCTTAATATTGCATGATACTCTCCTATTATTTGTTCTGTATTCTCCTATAGTCGATTGGTTCAATATGTATCCAATTATTTTATATCCAATACCTAAGAAAGATCACCTAACGAGATCTTCTCTACTATCATCTCGAGCCTCCAAGGGAGTATGCACAAGGGGCCCACTGGGGCCTAAGTGCGCGTAAAAATTACGCACCCCTATATACATACATACATACATACCTAAGAAAGATATTCCACGGTAATTCTCACACGATAATTTTTCACCCTTCTTGTAAATAGATCATATTATAGACTTATTCCACTGGGGGACTTCTGAGGGACGTTGTGCTCTTCCGGCGCCTTTCCGAGCTTTAGTAGCATTAATGGCATTCTTTACTTTACCATTACTTGGCGGTGTAATTGAGGGTTCATTTGAGGTTTCTTTTTCTTGTTACTTCCATTCCTCTCCGTCATTCTCTTCAGTATTTTCTCATGTACTCTTCATTTCCTCTATATCACTTACTATCCTTCCTGCTTGATCTCTCCAGAGTTTCGGTGGGGTGTATATCCTTGTCTTAATTGTTTTATAAATCTGTATACATTTCTTGTATGATTATTCTGGAAGTTTTTTCCATGTTCAAAATATGATTATTTTCATATCTTCTCTTCTTTCGTGACCTTGTTTCATCACCAAACAATATTAATAAGGTTAGTACGACCCATTTCTACGAATACAAAAGATACAAATATAGATTATTACAACAACTACAACATATTCATTTTCTTGAGTGAAAATTAAAAATAAAAATCCATTAAAGTGCAAAAACCGAAGTTTAATTTACACAATAAAATGGAAAGAAAATCACCAAACAATATTAATAAGGTTAGTACGACCCATTTCTACGAATACAAAAGATACAAATATAGATTATTACAACAACTACAACATATTCATTTTCTTGAGTGAAAATTAAAAATAAAAATCCATTAAAGTGCAAAAACCGAAGTTTAATGGGGTCATACACGATTTTTTTTTTATTATATTTTCTGAAAGTTTATATAAAAATATAGTTACCGTTATTTTTTTTTTTAATATTTTCGAACAAAGTCATTGTTAAAAAAATTATTGAAAATTTATATACCCATTTGCGCTTTTAAAATTCCCACGTTGATGACGTACGATTCTCACTTTTGCGTCCCCTGCTACCCGCTCAAATGCGAGAAAGAGATGAACGTCATTTAGGTTGTATTGAAAAGAGATAGAGTGTTTGTAGGTTATGTTTATTATGTTTTGTTCATGGATGTAATAGAGACACTGTATTACATCCATGGTTTTATTTTGACACTGTCACACCGCAAGCGCTATCTAACGGACAATTTAACTTGTTTTAGGCAGTGCGGTTCCTACGTCACACAAAAGCCGCGAAATTATTTCGTTTGAATATTTGCTATTTTTCACTTCAAATTACGCAAAATATAAAATTGATCAAAATATTTCTTTTACTTTGTGTTCATGCATATACTTGCATATATCGTTTGACATAAAAATTTTCTCTAAATTTAATAAGTGTGTATGACCCCATTTACATATATTTATTTGTTAGTAAAACATGGTATAATGTGATGAAAGGTTTTGTCGGCATTTATTTTTTATTTCCTCCTTGTTGCAGAACTTTATTTCCTTGTTTGTCGGATTTGTAGCTATTTATGATATATTCGTTTATTTTATTTAGATTGATAAATTGATGGTAACATACAATAATATGTGATCATAATCTAAAACTTTATCGAATTATACTTATTATTTCTAATTTTATTGTTTTTACATATAAATTGTACTACTTGTTATTTATTTCTAATAGATTATGGAAGAAATTAGAAGGTGGCAAAAAAGGAAGCGACCGCACGAGATGGTTAAACTCACCAAACGTCTACCAAAAGGTTGAAATTTTGGAAACTGGCACGCCGGATCCGAAGAAAATCACTAAGGTAGAAATTATTAAATTCGAAGATAAACAGTAAATTTTATAACCACTTCAAATATATAAGAAGAGCGCTTTAAATCGTACATTTTAATCGGGGTTATAATTGGGATTAATGGGGGTTAATATTTTAAAATTTGTGTTGTAATATTTTTTTAACGATTTAATGCGCTTTCTAAACCCTTTAATTACAATTATATAGTATACAGGGGAATCAAGTTATATTTGCTTCTAAAATTATTAATTTTAAATATTAATCACATGGTATAAACAAAGATATTCAATTTTACATTCCATATTATATTTATGTGTGCAATATATGATAGATGTTTAGAGAAAATTATAAAAAGAGAACGATAATAATGTTTATGTTGTGTATAGGCAGTAGAAGAGACAAAATCTCAATTTAATTTGTGCCATTTATTTGAAAAAGAAAAACATTAAACAAAAACAAATTATGCGAATATACGGAATAGAAATTTGTATATTTATTGTATCGTAAACAATAGGTAAAAAATTATATTAATGCAATTATATAATCGTTATTAATTCTGCATGGATCAATAATGTAATCGATATAAAATATATTTAAAAAAGACTAGGAACCACGATATTATAAAGTCTTAAATCTTTGGTGTTATACAAATACTATATTTGACTTACTAAATTCATAATCCTTTAAAATGAGTTCAATCACGGGTATTTTCTTGATAAGCAAAAATTTGATTATTTGTTGCTTTAATCTAATTGGTCTAAGAGCTTCCCTTTACTTACTGTATCTGAAATTAGTCAAATTATGAAACTGCCAGGAATGCCTTAGTCCAGGATGTGTTTCTTTTCAATGTGGTGTGCTCATGTATCCCATCGTGCTAAATTGTATTCACATCTTAACTTATAATATCTTGATTGTTAAGAAAAATAAATCGAGCTTGGACTCCTTTTAAAAGATGATTACTTAAAAGATAATCCCATAAAAAATATGAAAACTGTAGAATTAAATGGTTAAACAAGGTATAATAGTTACAGATCAGGGCCAATTGATTATTACTTTGCTATAAGGTTATCCAAGTTTAAAAATTAGTTAACTGTGTTAAGCTAATCTGGCGAAGGGTCAAATGTTGACGATTTATCAAAATAGTAAATGGCTAAAAAACTATGACTAATCTAATTATAGTTTTTGATATTGACATTCCCGCTAACTATTTCATCTTGTCCAAAAATTCGCGGAATGTGCAAAAAAACTGACGCCATCCTGATGAAACTAGATATTGTTATCCAATAAGTTGGGTTGAGTTTAAAAACCCAACCCAACCCGTACGTGAACCAGTCAAGATTATTGGAACACTTGTTTATGTTAGGAATTCCTCAAATTGACAGTAAAAAGTGTGGTTGAAGCAAAGCTATCAAATATATACCTCGTTCATTCAAGGACAATTCTTTTTACTCCTACAACTGTAATTTTGTTAGTGTATTGTGTTATTCAAGCAAAATGTAGTCTTATCTGAGATCAAGATAATATGAACATAGAACCGATTAATGTTACATCAATTCACCGAATTCCACGTCCAGAATTGTTATGAGAATTCTCTTCAAAAGTTAATTAACTGTTAAATTTGACTTTTTCGTAGTGTTGTTATTAAAAAAATTTCCATAATATCGTAGCTCATAGACAAGTGACTATAAGGAAGTGAATAGGTTATAATACGCGTTTATGGAAATGTACCCAATTACGGCGAGAAGACACCAGTCCTCATAAAAACTTCTTCGCTCGACTCTTCGTTCTGTATACTAGAATAACCAACTCTTAGATGGTCGTCTCGATGATCTTCTTCCTATTGGTTTTTCCTTCATGCATATACAAGCCAGCCGGACCTCTATTCTCCCTCAATTTCTTGACCAACGTCTTGTACATTACATTTTTCTGGTAACAACATTAAAACTTCGTTCCATGTTAGGTTCAATATTTTCTATAAAATCTGCAAGGTTCTCCATTTTATTAAATATTTCATTTAACGTTCCCAATTTCAATGATCTATTGTTTTAGCTTTCTTCAACACAATAACTATCATCTACATCAATTGGGGTTTATAATTGAAGTCTTCAAAGAAAAGCTTTGCGTTCGTTTATTTCTAGATCTAATCACTCCCCAATTTCTACAATCTCACCCACGATTTTATTTTGAAGATCTTCCACATTTGCTGACTGTCGTTTGACAGGTCACCTCGAACTCAATCTCTTATTACTGTTCATTGATCTCTCAAGGTTACTCATTTAATCGTCCTTGGCGTTCTCATTTCGATGGATGCTCTTGGTTTTTGATGTATTCGTCTTAGTTTTCAATGCATAAGTCAGTACCCGGCGTCACTGCCATTTTGTAGATGCGGACTTTGCGCTCTTTGAATATGTATTTGTTCTTCCATACGATGATGTTTCTTACATATCTAGATATTCTGGAGCCTTTGTTGACTTGTGCCCCGACATCTTGGTGAAAATTTTTGCAGCTGAAGATGTCAACGCCCAAGTACCTACATTTGCAGGATCTGTCTTTGGGGCTAACAGTCTTCTCTTCGGATATCTTCATGTTTATCCTTTCGCTGTGATTTGGAATCGGTATAATAGGATTCGCTACAAGTCGTTCTCGTTTTCCGCCATCAAAATGACATTATCTGCATAACATGAGACTTTCAAGGATTTTTGTCCAATAGTGCTTTGGATAATTTTGTCCATAATCAGATTTAATAGGCTCCTTGCCATTATAGGTACCTCCTCGACCTATGTTCATAACCAGCTAATTATTCCACGCATTCTTCATGGTCAATTCTTTAATTTCACTTCAACTCGCAGAAGTGTAGATATAGCTTTTCCAATAAGATCCAGCGTTATAGAATTTTCTCGGGCTTTATCCAGAAGTAATATTACTGTAAAGGTCAAGTTATTTATTATTTAATATAGCAGAAAGTTTTTATACATCCCGGTAATTGTACAAATTTTCTCATTATGTTCATTTACCATAACTAACCGTATATGTACATATTTATTACAAAACCAAATAGTTTTTATCTGAATCTCATTCACTTTTGACGCTGCGGTGTTGTTTCCATTACATGTGCAAAGCTGAGCAGAACCCAAAATTAAGAAAGTCTTTGTATTGTATTAATTTTTATTTTAAATTTAACATTTTGCAAGAAGATTTGTAATTGGAACGGACTTATACCGCGATCAACAGCATTTACTACAATTATGCGGTGTACTACGCAGAACTGAATTGAAAGCGATATCGAGCAATATATTGCACAAAATACACAATATCGAGCATGATTATTAAAATGAACAGAAATATTTTGTGCTATGATTACAAAACGGAAATAAAGCTTACCACAATGAAGTATATATAACTAACTAATTTAATAACTTTGTCTATTTATTAAAAATATAATTACACCATTAACTCTGAAATGGTTTAAATAAACAATATGAGCATTCTAATATTTGGATAACCTTGTAAATAATACTCAACAGGCTTTGATTACAAATATACTAGGTTTGTTCTAACATCCAAAAAAAAGTCATTCCAAAATGAAACCAATAAAACCATAAGATATGATAAATTGGATAAACAGATAACTTATTTTTTGGCTTGTTAGGATAAACCCATGGAATGTTAAAAATTAAAAACGATTTAAATCACATTTAGAACATTTTTGACTTGCTTTGATTGCCCTTTTTAACTAAGTTCATTTAGTTATTCAGATAACAGAAAGCGTAGTGAATTATTAAGAAAAGTTGTTCACATTCACATTAACTTAGTAATTTATGTCAACTAAAATGTGATTTTGGTTCACTAGAAATCAATTTGTATTAGGTTGCTTTGTTTCGAGCATGTGTAATTATTAACTTAATTAAGTTTTTTTTATGGATATCATATAATCAAGATTATAATTTCGCTTGGCCGCTTTGTGATTCATTATAAAAATAAAAAAAATAGCGTTAACAAAGTATATTAATCTTAAATTGATCTTTAAGTGTATCCTAAATTTGAATCATCAGCATTCCTTAGAATTTGCAACGCGCGAAACCTTGTCGTTGTGCCAGTTTAGTTGCCTTTTTGTGGAGATCCGTGTAAATCCAGTAAAAAATAACATTATCATCATTAACCCACGTAGCAACTCAAAACCAGTACGAATTTTATTTTACACAAGATTAAAAAAAAATTGTTAATAATTTGGACAAATAAAAAATATAAAAAAGCAGGCACACACGGCAAAAGTTTTGCGTTTTTGCAGATTCTTGATCACTTTCCAAGATTGATTTTTAACATTCTGTACTGGTTTTGTTTTGCAGTGGGTCACGGACGGATCACCAACCCACTCGAGCACCCCGGTCAAAATTGAGAGTGCCCTACAGTTTGTGCCGAAAAATACCAATCCTAAAGAATTTAAGCTGCTTCAACAACAGGTAAATAAAAAATTTTATAATAACTGAAAACCCATTTAAATAAATATATGTTTTGTGTGTGTATGTAGATTAAAGATTATAGAAGGGCTGATAAAATTTCCGCTGGGCCGCAGTCGCATATTTTGGAAGGAGTCACATGGGAAGAAGCTAAGAAAATGCAAGATGCAACCGTTACTCAAACGGGCGATCAAGTGGTGTTGATGGGGGCAGCTTCCAAGGGGATTATTCAAAGAGGTTATCAACACAATGCAACAATGTACAAGTCGCCTTACGCGAAAAATCCGTTCGATTGTGTTACTGACGAAGAATTGGACGAATATAAACGAGTTGTTGAACGAAAAGCAAGAGGAGAATGTAAGAAAGATAAATTTTTACTTGATAATTTAATTCTTAAAGTTTAAACATGACACTCATATTTAATTACTCCCCAATTTTTTTTTTTTTAAATTAGTTAAGATGAAAGATTGTTACTTTAAATCTAATCAGAATGATATGATTTTTGACCTTGTCAAAGTTTATACTGTACCAACTTGCTTGCAGATATTAAGTAATTTGGGAGTGGTTATTTTTGAAAACTGAATTACTTCTTAGAATAAGATAGTTGGCTAAAACGTTTCATTCAAAAATTTTAATTTTTTTTTAAACATAATTCGCAAAAATTAAGTATACAGTTAAAAATCAACTATTTTCCATGGATGTATTTTCTACATTTTATCTTTATTCTTAATAATCACCTTTCCCATTGTGTTATTGGTTAGTAGATAGTCTGATGTCCCAGGGTAAAAAGTCGTTGTGTTTGTAAGGATGTATTATTGCATAATTAAATTCGAATTATTGTTGTATGTATGTAGTTTGACGTGAGGGTGAGTTTCTTCACAGCACTTAAATCCCAGCGGGCCCTTTGTATATCCCCACAATTAACAGTTCATTCAAGGGGTAGAAAACTGGCCCAATGTTTTCATGAACGTTAATATAGAACAGAAAGGTATGTTCCTTATAATAAATAATTTGGGGCCATAGTACTCCAAGAGTGGATTTCCTTAAGTACGCGAGGTTGGGACAGTCACAAACAATATGACTTACCATATCGTCTTCCATTTCATAACCGCTATAGAGGGATGTATTCGCCAGCTTCATGTACAACATTTTCTTACTTAACCTGCAGTATCTGGTCAGGAAGTGGGTGAGGAACCTCAAGTCACTTTTTGATTTTTCTAGAACCTGAGTAGATCTCTTCTGGTCAGGGTAGAACAGTTTTCTTTGCAAAGACACCTACTGCTGTGTCATCCCATCTATCGCAAAAGGCTCGATGCGAGATGGAGTTTATCAGCTTTGATGCTGTATTAACAGCTAGTGGTACAAGCGGTTCAGGGGAGATCGGTGACTTGTTAGCCGACCGTTTCGCCATTTTATCGTGATATGCTATCGTGCCTCCTCGAGTGATTTCCGACAGGACTTCATCAACGATGATGTAGTTCGATGCCTACCAATCACCAGCATAGCCTGTCTGCTATCAGTGCAGATTACAACGTTTCTGCCGACTTTTTTAGACATATTTATAGCAGTTATTTCGGTTTGAGCAGTCGTGCAATACGACCCTAGCGAAGTGGAAAGGTGCAGCTCGAGATCGTGCGAGAAAATTGCCGCTCCGGACCCTCCAGCCTTCTTTGATCCATCAGTGTAGATTGTCAGCGTTTTGCCCAAGCTTAGGTTGCTCCGGGGTATCGTTTCAATGCCAAAGTATGACTTGCCTAAGAAAGTAGGTGTGATGTAGTCTGTGCGAGCTTTAAGGAGGGGTTGTTTGCAAACAGCCTGGACTATTCCCATTTTAACAATCTGCTTATCATTTAGTGATCGCAATCGAAGCACCGCAATCACGGCCACCTCCCTGATAAAAATATCTAGGAGCAGCACGTTCAGCATAGTCTCCATCGCGATCGTAGGTGTAGATTTCATAGCGTCCGTGATTAACAGGCAGGCCAGTCGTTGCAATTGATGCAACAATTTAGTTTTATATGCATGTTTTAGTGCTGAGCACCAAACTATGGCTCGACACTAGTTCAGTACAATCGTTGCTATTTTGGTTTTGCAACTAATGTGTGATTTCCAAGTTAGTCCTTTGTCCAAGATATTACACCTCTGGAGCAAAGGTTACTGGATTATTGCAGAAATTGGGTGGTGTTAAATGTCCCAGTGTCTTCTGCTTAGTGAAGCGAACAATCTCGGTCTTTTTACGATTAACAGAGAGGGAATTATTATTCTCTTGGCATTTGTAACGATATTTGTCCACTTTTTTTTATTGTCGCGTAGCTTTAGCTCAAATTTCAGTGAATTTATCTGGGCTTCAGATTACTCAAATCGCTCGTCCTCTGAGTAAACGGATGTCATCCACGAAAAATGGATGACGTCCGTATTCCTTCCGCCGATTTCAAGATTATTTGTACGATTTGAGAGTTACTCGATTCCCCTAAACCATCCAAGGCACATCCATCCATTAACAATACCAAGGCACAATTATGAAATTTATAAAAGATCGTTCTCTTATTGTGTGCCTAACATGTACAACCCTCTGCCGGATTCTTTAAAACATTTATCTTGTAAAAGATTCAAGATAGAACTAAGGAAACTTTTGCTAAACCAACAAAATGGCTTTGAGTAGACGGAATAGCGCCGGTTCCTTCTTCTATTCTTCTTCTCTCTTCTCCTCTATTCTCTCTGTCTTACTTCGTTGCCCTTTCTATTTGTTTTTCTTTTGTTTTGTTCTCTCTCATTTTCTTTTGGTTCTGACGTACATCGTATTGTGTCATTTAGTTTAATTTCTAGTAGCAGTAATTTAATTTAAGGATTGATGAAAAACAGTGGGCTTACACCGTTGACTGGTGCTAGCTAAACTGACTCAATCCTCTTTAGTTCATTGTTTCGAATTTAATTTGTTTATTTCCAATGTATTTACTGTTATTATTGTTTATGTGAACCAATAAATATTATTTATTTATTATCCTTAGCCTTTTACACCTCAGAGTTATCAAATGTCTTCTTGTCTGTCCATAAGATGAATTCGGTGATGGTTCATAGTTTTATAAAAGCATAGCAACGGTTCATTCGGAGATAAGCGAAGCAAGTGACATTGCTAGATCGTTGGTATGTGGGGATCCCAAGATATCTCGGCGTCTATGGTGACTCTGAAATACTTAACTGGATGACTCCGTCGAAGATCTTCAGTTGGCAGGATTGTCATAGACTCCTTTTTTTCGGACAGTTCCCAAAAAAACCAATGCCGCACTTTTACCTGGATGTATTACCGCAGGGACTGTTGAAGTCTTCTTTCGATAATATCTAGTTGCCGCGATTGGCTGAAGATGCAGATTTTAAGCCCCCAAGTCAACATCCGGCACCTGCGGTACATCACTCACGAAGATGTTGAATAGCGGAGAAAAAAGCGAGTAAAATGAAAACATTAAAAAAAATGGCGGTGACGGAAAACTAGCAATGTGTGGATAAGAAATAGAATTTGAAGAATGTTAAGTTTTCTTAGCAGTCAATGTTTACTACACAAACTAAAATCGTTAAACACTCATTTGTCTATAGCTCTATAGCTTGTCGCCTATATATTTTTCATCGTTATATTTCATCCCATAGCCTGGTAAATGCTAATATTGTTACTTGAATCTCTTGATCTAACTTTAAAAACATATAAAATCTTCACAACTTGCCGGTTGATTGGAAATAGTTTTACTGATCGTATTAAATTCATTGACATTTTTTTTTTGTAAAATCACAGGACAAATTGTAGTATATCTTTGTTTTCCTTTCAAAGAATACTATTTTGTAAGAAATTAATCAATATGAACAAGGTAAGGATCACAGATCTTCTGGTTTTCAAGTTTTATGATACTATGTGTATTGATATCCAGTTTTTCCATTTTTACAAAAGCGCTACGAAGTTGAAAACTGTTTTTTTTTTACATTACAAAGATAGTATTTTTATGAAAGTTGGAAGTTGAGGTTTTCACTATACATTATATCAACGATATTTATGACTAAGAACAAAAAATAGATAATTGAAATTTTAAAGAACTTTTTATGGGATTCGACTCTATTCAGTATAAGATATATTGTATCAAATACGCATTAAACCAGTTGAACCATTTTTGAAATAGCAAAAATCTGAAAAACCACGGTTATTTACGAAAATAATACCTACCAACAAAATACCCAATATTCTGAATAAATAAGTCTGTTACATATCCAAATGTCAAGTTCATGAAATCATGCATACATATGTAATCTTAAGTCCAACAAACTTCATCAATGTCAATTTCACCATAGCAGAGATTTTTGTCGCTCGTATTTACTGATTTGCCAGTTAAAAAATTGCCGCAATACTTCAAAACCTATATATAATCTATCTATTTATAAAAGTTCATTGCCTTTGAATTAAACACCGTAACTCAATATATTTAAGAAAATATCTAATCTCCAGCGTACAATAGTAACAAACGGCTGTCAAAATTTAGTGAGATATAAATATGAAGTTCCCAGCCGTCTTCTCTATTCACGTTCGTCTTTCTTATTATCCTTTGGTAATAATTTTCGGCTCTGGTTAACACTTTGGTTTTATCGAAATCTGTGGTGTGTAATAGTTCCTATAACTGCATAATAGCCAAGAAACTTCCGCCTTCTTTAATGGGGTTAATATTTTGTAGCTATTGGGGAAGAACGTTCCTAATTTTGCGGACTGTACCCTATGGTACCACGATATCCTTCTTCTTCAGACCTTGAATTCTGCTCCGTCACGCCTGACACATAATCCCTCTGCTTACATTGTTTGGTGACTCGCTGGATATCATAGGGTTTAATCAATTTGATCATAGGGTGTAGCGAGTTCAGGTAGTTTAGAAACTCCTTAAACGCTTTTTTCCCTGTTGCTATTCACAAAGGCATCATCCACGTAACAAAGTCATAGTTTTGGTTTTCACGGACTCTTTGTGAACTATAATACATACATAATAATATATGTAATCTTAAGTGCAACAAACTTCATCAGTACCAATTTCACCATAGCAGAGATTTTTGTCGCTCGTATTTACTGATTTGAATCTTCTCTTCTCTTCGAATCTATATACAGGGTGTCAGATAAAAAACGCCCCAAGCTGTAACTCTGTCATTTACATTCCGATTTTCATTACCGAATTGAAAATGAAATGGTTTGATGAATACTATGATTCATGCTACAAATAAGGATTTTCCCGTCAACGTGCCGATATCGTCTTGGTCCGTATTGTCGCCATTTTCATCCTGAGATCTTCTCCGCTGGAATAACACTTTTTTAAGAAGAAGAAAAAAAATATATAATAAGAACTTATCAACATAGAAAGGTCAGATTGTTGCGTTTTTTTCTTCTATCCGTCTGAATACTGAATACTCAACTTCTAAAATATTTAACTCTTTATAACTCAAAAACCGTGATGACTAGAGAAATTCTACGTGCACCATTGGATTCTACGTGAAAAAATCTATTAGAATCCGTTTTTTACATTTCTGGATAGGTGAGGTGTCTGAAAATCGTAAATTTTGAAACACTCCCTGTGTATCAAAAACGAAGAGGGCTATGAAAATTTGATTTGCGCCATTGTAAGTTTCACAAAAAAGTAGCTCAGGTTCGCGAAAGCCGCAACGTTCTATTTTCCATAATAACTGAGATACCCTGCAAACCCATCGAAATTTGGACACCCTGTACATCAATGTATTCAGAAAAACAAAAGCTAATAATCGCTTGAAATTGAAGATGGCGTTGGAAAAAATTTATTTGTAGCATGAATCATAGTATTCGTCAAACCATTTCAATTGATACTTCGTTCATGAAAATCGGATTGTAAATGACAGAGCTACAGCTTGGGGCATTTTTTATCTGACACCCTGTATAATCTTTCTATTTATAAAAGTTTATTGCCTTTGAATTGCCTTTGACTGTACCCTCTGGTACCTTGATGTCCTTCTTCTTCAGACCTTGCATTCTGCTCTGTCACGCCTGACACATAATCCCTCTGCTTACATTGTTTGGTGACCTGCTGGAAACATCTTCTAGAAATGCTTCTTTCTTCAAATTCTTTTCGTTTTATATTTCTGCTCACTACAATAAGTCTTGGATCATTGACTTCTATGATCGTGGTTGGTGATGGGATGCCTGTAGATAGTGTCTCCATCTGTCTTCCCAGTAACTAATACATCTAAAAAAAGCATTTCCGTAGCTTTTTTGCATCTTCCGTTTCCATTATAAATTTGATCATAGGGTGTTGCGAGTTCAGGTAGTTTAGAAACTCCTGCTGCTATTCACAAAGGCGTCATCCACGTAACGAAGTCATAGCTTTGGTTTTCACGGACTCTTCGTGAATGCTTATTCTACAAACATCTCTATGTAGAAATTGGCCATGACTGGTTACAAAGGTGCAGTGCTCAACCAGCTTTGAAACATACTTCGGTAAGCGCTCCGGAATGAATTTCTGGCGAAGACCACGGCGTCTTTGACTGATACTGTGGTAAATAGAGATTCCACATTGACACTTACCAGGACATCCTCAGGACCTATTCATACTTTTGATTGATTCTACAAAATGCGCAGAATCTCTTACATATAATTCTGTTTTTCCTGTAATGGCAGACAGAATCTTTGTAAAGTGTTTTTCCAGCTGGTACGTTGAAGAACAAAAAATGTCGAATCTAATTTATAATAACAATCTTGGATCAATACTTTAATATTACTTCATTAACCAGTCTTTAACTTGTACTAATTTCTGATAAACCTTCAATACAAATTTTAACATTCCTCTATTTGAAATTATTCTTTATTTTTCCCTTTTATTTATAGTTGACGATACGACGGATTACAGCGAGTCAGAAGGGTTGTCTTCTGCACAAATTAACAAGCGGATAAGCGATATCCGATCTCCTACATCTGTAGCTAGCGAAACGGAAGAGGAAAGTAGGGACGGTAAGCTTTATTACAAAAAAAAATACATAAACTAATTTAAGGAACTTGATTGATTTTCTGATTATATTAAATTTTTTAAAGAACCTCAAGTTTTGAGAATAGAAACAACGCAGGCGCCGAAACCGAGCCAGCCGGAAGTAGTGATGAGCGATGGTAAGTTATTTTTAGGAAGTATGTTAAAAATAGTTTTAGTTAAAATTAGTTAACTGTTAAAACAACTTAAATTAATTAAAAAGAAAAACGGGCGAGTGATTTAAGCTTGATTTTTGCCTAGTTATTGATAATCTAAAGTGATACTTTGGCAGCTTTGGTAAGTGATCATCAAAAAAGATAGGAAATGCGGAATGAACGAATGGAACAAATTTTTGTTATCTAAATTTGTTTGTCTAAATTATTGCATTCCGCTTTTAAGTTTGTTATAATTTGGATTTGTAACCCATTATCAAGTGAATTATAAATCCAATTAATAACGTTAGAAAAACCATCTGCCTTGTTATTCTAGTATCAAAATTTAAATATTTGTTGTTTTACATTTAAAATATCTATATGTATTATTATTACTTCTAAAGTATTTGTTTTTTTAATTAATTCACCACCGACATTTTCACATATTTCATTTCAAATTTACATAATTTTATTTGATTGATATTCTTTATGCTCGTTGCTTTTAAATTAGCGTTTTTGCTCGTTCTTTTAATGCATTTTTAAAGCATGATTGCATGGTTTTTTTCTGTAGATGATCCAATATCAGATCAACAACAATATGAGGCGATAGAGAAACGTGAGTATTTTTTAAAGCTAACCAAAAGAAATTATCAGGATATTTTTTATAACATACTCATAAACAAAAATTTTGGTTAATTTGTTTTTAACAATTTATCAAGAAATTTTGTCTTTGGGTATGTTATAATAAAGATTATTTTAAGGTTGTTTTAGATTGCGCTGCCTAAATTTAGTAAAAGATAAAAAAACACATTATTTGCGGGAGTACTTAGCTTATTTAGAATGATTAAAAAAAATTCATTTTATGAATAAATTTCTAAATGTGTATTTGAATTAAAATGTGACCGATTGGTTTTGGTAAAGAGTCTCATGTCTAAATATGAGACATAAATATTGATCAAGAAACGAAACGAACAAATATTGATGACAAATATAGGTGTTAATTTTGAATGTAACTCAAGTCCATTTTTGATAAGAAGACATTATTTACTTAATAATTGCTATCATATTAAAGGAAATGTAATTTTAACACTTTTAGATAGTCTTAACACCTGTTGCGACCACGCATTGCGATGAAGAAGTCATTGAAATATGTATACCTTATAAAGATTTTGGTACAATGTTTAGTTAGAAAGATTATACCTATAGATTTATAACACAAAATAAAGAAAACTAAGATTCAAAAGACTAAGATTTAAAAATATTATTCTATGTGAAAACTATAAAAACAGCTTATGTGCTTGTTGAGAGTCAATTCTTTACATTTTCCACAAAAAAAATAAAAGATTTTCCTGTACAATCTGGGTATTTGCAGCGTTCCTGAGCTGGAATTTTAGCAAATGTATATTTCCATATATTCGAGGCGTTGGAATAGTGTTTGAACTTCTGTTATTACCAACTTGAATTCGCAAATACATATCGGAATTACGTTTTCTCTACATTTTATTTAGCGTATGAGATAGACATATAAGACATACAATACAATAGTAGATATAAGTTACATACAACGAATATATACAGGGTTATTAGCTCACCATCAAACTTTGGCATTCATTTAGGTTCTGTATAGCTAAACCAATTACCAAAGACAAATGTTAGTGAACATCTGTCCTATTTCAATTATTTACGAAATTAAAACACTTTAAAGTTTTAATTTTTATATCATCATTAACTGCTACATTTTTTTTTAAAACACATAAATATCACAAATTTTGTTCAAAATAGCCTCCTTTTGCTAGAATACATGTTTCACAACGACGAATTAAGAAGCTCTTCAGCCGAATTAAAATGTCTGGTTGATTTCTTATTTCAATAGCAGCCACTTGTTTGGAAAATATTGGTTTAACCACTGGACAATTACTCTTCCGCGGTGAGGTGGGGCACCATCATGCTGGTACCACATATTTTGAATTTCATTAAGCGGTATATCTTCAAGTAAATCAAAAAGTGTATTGTTCAAAAAAAATCTGTAATTTACAGCGTTCAAATGTTCATCAAGTACATGCAAACTTAGTAAATTGTTGTTAAATATTGAATAGCGCTATTCTTCAAGTGCTGATGGAAGGATTATCAATGACAGCATTAATTACAGCTTCTTCGTCCTCTACATTAACTACATGTGGTCGAATAGCGTTTGCTGGAGCAGGATTACCTGTTTCTCGAAGTCTTCTAAAAGAATCGCTAAAAACTGAATAATATGGCAAATGACGCTGTGGAAATCTTTTTTGATGTTCTCGTACTGATTGTCGAGCATATCCATTGCAAAAACCATACACGAAAATTATATCAGCATACTCTTCAGTGCTATAAGCGTACATTTTGAGTTTCTTCTTGTATATAATAATTAAACCTTACGGCAAACTGACATACACATTACAATGGGTTGATTTTACTGACTATTAATAAATTCTCTGCAGAAAACTTTAAAGTGTTATAATTTCGTAAATAATTGAAATAGGACATATGTTCATTAACATTTTTTTGGTAATTAGATTAGCTATCATATGGCAAAGTTTGATGGTGAGCTAATAAATCACCCTGTATAAAATACATAAACTATGCAAGAACATAACGGTCAATAGGAAGTATAACAAAAATCTCAAATTTTGTATTCAATTCGGCTAGTCATTTAAGAGCTGTGGGTTTAGCATCAAAGAACTCCTTCGCAGCGTTAGGATAAGATCTAATAGGGCAGTCCCCCACAATGTGCTGGATAGATTGTTTTGGAGCTCCGCGGTCATAGTGGGGGCAATACTTCCTATTTGTGGAGACTATCACCACAGACTTTATCTCCCGTACGGCTCTTCCATAGTTGCCGGGGAAGTCCAAATACTTTTGATTCTTGTTCCAATTTTTTTCCTACTCAGCGTTGATGTTGTAGTTGTTTCTAGCAAGTTCCTCAGCAAGATTTAATGGTGAGTTTTGGAATCTGAGGCGATTTATATTAAAATAAATTAGATCCTTATATATAGGCAGTAGTGGTTTGTCAGTTATTGTCTTGAACTCTCTTAGGACAGCATTCTTTCTTCGCAGGTTTGGCGGGGCGATATTGCTTAGCGTTGGGAGTTAGTGCAGAGGAGTGTACTCTCTAGATATTTCTTAAACGAGAGTGTTCTGTCCAAGGTGTTCTGATCTGGAGTCTGCTGGATGCTATTTTATTGTTCAAGTGAAAACCTCTTCTCAGCACAAGCCAGGCATCGGCACATATCGTATCTATACCTAGCAGAGCATCTAGCAGGTGACTCCTAGTGACTAATTAATTATCGTACCCGACGTCATCATTGCAAATATGCAACCAATATCACAGTATTGGTATTACAATACGCGATTTGCGTATGATGCGTATTGCACTATGATATTGGTTGCATACTTACAATGACGGCGTCGGGTACGATAATTAATTAACACACTGCACTTGTATGCATTTGGGCCGGGGAATGTCTATATAAGACTTCCTTTGTCTAGAAAACTTGTTTAGTTCGGATTCTTACATCGACATTCTCAATATTTGCAACTTTGTCATCAAACACACGTCCTCCTCGCCTTTTCATTTCTGATTCCTTATTTCAGTATTTCACAAACTTTCGACATCTAAAATATGCTGCTTTTTTAATTTTCAGTAATTTTACTTCAATTCTTTAATGCAATTTTTTTCCAAGCCCCACTGTCTCTTCCAACAGAACGAGATATAAAGGTGATTAGTAAAATAAAGTAGTTTATATATTTGACATTAATTAATAGAACATGCAACACAGTTTTATTTCAACTTAAAAAAAAGCAACTAAACATTGTGTAAAGAAACCACCTGTGCATAGTATTTGTAGCTTTTCCAAGGCAGTCTCATTGTCCTGTCATGTAACCAGCAGAGTTTAAAATGCGAATGATTAATTTCTCAGAAACATTAGTTCTTCATCTGTTCTCATTAAAAACGTTAAAAATATTTACCAGACAACAAGACATTTTGGTTATTTTCTATGTTATTGGAATAAGTACCTCAAAATGAAATGAACACGAGCAAATATGCTCTGCTATCGGTATATCCAAAGTTGGTTACAGATATGCATGAGAATGGCTGATTAAGAAAATCAGATTTTCGATCAGCACAGTACAATAAAATATGCTTGTTTCAAGTAAATACAGCCGGTACGATATTTGTTGAGCCAGATTTCTCAGAAAACCACTACGTCAGATTCTTGGAAAATATAACATCGGACACCCCGAAAGTCATTGGCGGCGGCATAGCAAGTGAGTGTTCATACTTGCAATAAAGTTTAAAGGTACGCCACTGCTTGTAAATATCAAGCCGTGATTAACCGTTGCTTTCCGAGAATAGAACGTCATTCATTTTTTCCTTTCTGGGAATTTTGACTCAACAAATATCGTACCAACTGTAATATTATTGACTTTAACAATACATTTATCTCTGTGTATGTATCTGTTAATTATATATTATGTTCGGGAGTCGTTAAGCAAAAACAAATTTAATTTTATAGTTTTGGATTTCCCCTAAACGCTAGAAGTAATTAACCATAGCATTCATCACATCAATCGTTCAGTCGCAGTGGTCGAGTCTGCCTTTCTAATTATCGAAGCATAAGTCAGTATTAAAAAAAAAACTTTGCTCTGGTCAAGTAATCTCCACTAACTCAGCATCATAGCTATCTCGGCTTTTAAGTAATCGTGTCTTATTTTTCAGTCAAGTACTCTTTACTGCCTCGGAAGCACAGCTGCCTCGGATAACATGCTGCCTTAATAACATGTCAATAACGAAAGGAAAGTTTTATTTATAGCTTTTTAAATTCTTGAACTACTGCGTTTGGCAATAAATTGGCTTATAAATGGACAAATTTATATTAAAAAGAAGTTCTGGTGTTTTCTTTTATAGCAGCAGATCTTCCTTGGATCCTAATAACATGTTCATATCGACAAAAACCTTATTTATCTTCTTCTTTTTAAGTTCTGGAGCTATTGTTTCGCCAGCATAGCTGCTTCAGTATGTAATTAATACAATTGACATCACATTAATACAAGTGATAAAACAGTAATATGTAAGGTAATAATATTTATTTAAACGTAGCAGCTCCGCAGGCGACCTCACATCGATACAAATGGATAAATTATAGGATAAAATATGTAGGTCAATATTGTAATGATATTTATGTAAATGTAGCGTCTCGGCCGCAAGCGATCACTGCTTAACTTATTACTAAGAATTAATAATAACGTTATTTAATCGAGGCCTTACAGTTAATTCCATATCGCTATAAGTACGAAGGCTTTCACGGCCGGTGTTAATTGAACTAAAACTAGAACTAACACTAGCACTAAACCTAGAACTAGAAACTTTCGGGTTAAGCCGTGCGTCTTTTGAAAAAATGTTTGGCGTTTCGGATGCCATGTTTCAACCTTCTTCAGAAACAAATTCGAAGTCATATCGCTGTTATATTAGACAATATTCAATATTTTTTTAAATATTCAGCTGCCTCGGCTTTTAAGAAATCCACTCGTATTAAAAATAACGAGTCTTCTTTTGCAGTCAAATACTCTCCAATGCCTCCGCCTGCCTTATAGCTTAGGTTGCTTGCTGCCAAGACGCTACATTTACAAAATAACTCAATTTTAACATAAATAGATTTAGGTTGCTTTCAAAATAAATGTCTCATATGCTATCTTGCAAGGTTCGGAACATGATTTTCTCGAGCTTTACAATAATGATTGTGATTTGCAATAAATAACATTTTAAATTATGTATAAATAACAATCGTAATTTAATGATTAATTACTATAATCATATTATATTGAAAATGAACGTTTGAATATAGTATCAGGCAATTAATTTCTTATTCAGGCAATCTAAAATATCTTAAGATACCTTTAAAATATCGCTTAATCAATTAACGTACATTATTTGCTATAAATATACAATAAAAATGTACGATAAATGATTACCAATAAAACAAAAAAATAATTAGTAGTATTTACATGCTTTTAAACACTTGAAAATTATTTGCATGACGTAGTTAAATCAGAAGCACTTCTTCAACAATCACCAGTAAGCAGAGCGTCCATACACAGCACAAAAAGTAAGTACACCATTTAGAGAAAAAAAAATAGTTTATTAAATATAGCTTAGTTACATACATTTTTTGTTGGTAGTTGCTTACCGTAACACTTTGCGCTTATTTTGTTCGATTCAATCATGGCTGCACAGATACGATTGGACATTTTATTTTTACCAAATTCCTTTATTAACATCCCCGACTCCCTTTCATTTTCAGGCCGCGGTTCTGCGCTTGTACATTCTTACAGGACCACGGGACATTTCGGACACCCGAAAGGTTCCTATTTGGCACCAAACCCCAAACATTACCACGTAGCAAATTTGCACTACATTAACGAAGTTTGCAGACCGAAATTAGTGAACATTTCACGAAGTAATTCCCCCAAATTCAATAATGAAGAAGAATTTCGCGAAAAAGTTAATCAATTAACCGTTAATATTGGAAACCAACTTTCTTTGGAAATTCCTTTGGAAATGTTTAAAGATTTTATTTTGCCATTTGTTCCCGATTTGAATGTTAATGAGAAGAGTCAAACGTTCGAGGATGTTTTCGCTCAAACTAGTTATGTTGCTGATTCAATTTTAACGCATAATTTTCCGGAGTTAAAACATGATGAGGAAGATTCTTCTGATTTTGAAATGGAGATTGTTAAAAAGATGCAACAAGATATCTTTCAAGATGTAAGTGATGAATCCTTTGAAGATGTTAATAAGGCATTTGATGAACATATGGCGCGTCTTCGTGAAAACCAAGCTAAAGAGGAAGCAGTGAGGAGCTTTTCTAAAGAACAAATGTTTGAAAATGAATATGATTTTGGTCCCAATAAAGATTATCAATCAGGAGATTTTTTTGACTTGACACGTGAAGTTAATGATTTAAGTACTTGCGAAGAAGATAGTGACGAAGTGGAAATAAAAAGTGCTGAATTAAACGCTGAGAACGATGATGTTTTTTTAGAGGGAACCAAAAATGATACAAAATATGATCCCGATGTATTGTTTGTTGACGTGCTTGTTGAGGGAGACAAGGTAAACGTATCATTTTTTGACGGGGACCAAGAAATGCCAGAAATGAGATCGACGCATTCAATACAAGACAGAGATTTGTTAATAATCGTTGGTGATGAGGATTTACAAAATAACAGAACTCAAATGGATGGTCAAATTAATGAAGATTTGGAAAAAAATGAAGAAAAGACCAAACAGGAGTGTTCTTTTGATGATGTAGCCATCTGCGAAGATGAGGATGGTTTTCAGTCATCTGAAGGAGAAAGTTTAATCGAGAATGAATGCGAAAACGATGATGACGAAGCCGTAGGAATTACGTCACAAAATCATGAACAAATTGTTTTACAACTTATCAATGATTATTGTAAGCTGTTAGAAGCGAAAGAGAAAGCCCGAATAGAAGCAAAACAAGATGAGGTGCGAAAATATATTGCGGCGTTGGAGCCAATTATTGAACAAGAAGAAATTGTTTGTGATGAGCAAGAATCAGTAAAAACTTGCACAGTGTCTACCAACACTGATATAACAACAAAGACCGAAAAATCATGTTCAACGCTTTCTCCCCCTGGACTCGAAGATTACCTTTTAAAGATGGTCCCAAAAAAATCGACGTGCATTAAAAACCTTTTTAACTCTCAAACGCAAACTTGTTACAATAAGCAAGACAGCAATTCAAAGAAAGATGATGATGAAATCTTAAAATCTAATGATATGAAATCTAATGATAACGCAGCTAAAAAGCCACCAAAACGAAAGCATTTAAGCAAACCCCAAGAAGAAATTGAAAAAGCGAATAAAGACAACGATAAAAATCGAAAACATTTCAATAAGAAGCAAAAAAAGCATCAAAATAATGAAGAAATAGATTCTGAGGTGAGTTCGCAATACTCGTGCTCGTTATTTGATCGATTTTCTGTTATTTACGATATGGTCCCCCTCACAAAATCGGTCGATATGAACAAATTCGAAGACACTTTAAAAGGTCTCAAAGAAATGCTTTCTCAATCATCAACGAATTTATTCGACGTAAAAAACGTGGTTTTGCCCCCGAATAAATTAAAGCCGCTAAAAAGAATGGTCGATGAGACGTTAAAACATTTACCCAATATTCAAAAAGTTGTGAGGACTTGCAAGCATAAAACGAGAAAGGGACAAGTTTGTGTGAGAGGAATTTGTAAGACAATGCCGAAAATTGAGAATATTTTTAATTTTCCAGAAATCGCGCAAGTTTTAGGAAAATCGTTTAATGAGAAAAACGATATAAAATTGAAGGAGGAACATTGTAAGCAACAAATGAAAAATATTTTGTTTAGGAATACTTTCCCGTTAATTAATAGGTATAAAAATTATCGTGGAAAAGAATTGAAGAAATCTGTGTGTGCAGAAGCTGATAAAGAAAACGTCGAAAATAAAGATATGTTGAAATATCCTGATGATTCAGAAGAAGATGAATCAGAAGATGAAAAATGTGCTTCCCATGAAACGCACGAACAGAGTAGTAACTGCAATAATATTGATAACAACCTTAAAAATAACCAAGAAAAAAATTTCACCCCAGTAAAAGTCAAAACCGTCCATGAAATTAATAATTCGATTACCACAGCCCAAGAAGCAAAATCTAAATTGATTAAAAACATTGTATCATCCTCAAAAATATCTTCGTTTCAACCGAGAAAATCTCAAAGTGGTAACGAACATTTATGGGTAATGTTAGAAAAAGCAAAATCAAAAAAAAATACCCCTTTAAAACCATCGAAAAATGTAACGGTTTCCAAGGGAAAAAATCTTTCTAAAAGTGTTGAATGTAACGATTATAGTGATTACTTTGCTACTAAAGATCAAAATGTGTCTCGTGTAGAAGATGAAAATAATCGGGTTGTTGTTTCTGTGGAAAATTATTTTGTTCGTTCCGAGTCAAATGATAACCCAGCGTTTGTACAATCTAATAACGTTACTTTCGTTGTGAAAGACAAAGAAAATGGTGATAAATGCGGGTTTGAAGGAGACCCCAGTCTCGCTTGGATGGGATATGAAAACGCGAAGTTTTAAATATTAGTTTGTTTAAAGTTTTAATTTACTATATATACATAAGACTTTCAAGTTCCGATCATTTATTTCCTAACAGCACGTTTTTTTTGTAATACATTCGCTTTGCATTTTATTTGGTGTATGTTTATAAAGAGCCATTGTTTCCGTTAATTCTTGGAAGTTATGTTATCAGTTTTTGATCCAAAATTTATTGATAACATAATTTTAAAGACTTTTGTTAATTATTGTACTCAACACATCATGTTATAATCTTCAGCACATAAAAACAACATTTAATACTCTTGCTTTTTTAATAAGTTTGTGAATATTTATGTTAAATCCTAGAACCCGCTAAAAATGTAACAAAACGGTATAAAAAAAAGATATTTTTGGTGTATGGGTATAATTTGGGTGAATGGATATTTGGATCAGGTATTAACTAATTTATTTTTTTATACACGAACACAAACACTGCCTTGTAACACATTTAGCACTTTTTTGTTATTGTTTCACTGTTACAAATTGTACACTTAAAGAAACATCGTTTGCAGGAAGTTTTTACTTTTTAAATTAATTATATATTGTGTTATATGTTTTAAATTTATGGTAACAGCTAAATATGTAGATATACAGGTGTTTCAAAAATTATGCTCTGCAACATCAATAGTTTCTAATCCTGCGTTGATGGGACTTTTTCGCACTCTTTCAAACTCACAACTTGTCATTTTTACGAATTATCAGTACAATTACCAGATAACCGTTCTATTCGTTAGTACAAATCTTCCAGATTGTTCACAGGTGTTGCGTAAACTAAACTTTTCTCCACTGAATCATTGAAACCATTCCCAAGGCAACCCACCGCTTCCGGCCACCAAAAACCAGCGGAGAACCTTGACTTTATTTGCACATTAACACGTTCAGTGTGTATGACTCCATTCGAAGTTGCCATGTTACAACATTAGTACATAGGAGTCATGTGCGTCTTTTTTATCATTTATTCAATAAACCTCGCCGCTCCTTGGAACCCTAACCTATAAAACTTCTCAGCGAACGTGTTAACTAAAATACAATTCATCAAACCTAAAGTCTAATTACAATATAAAACGAACACAATGAAACGAAATACAATCCTTGTCACACTTACAATTTATCCGCCAACTTAAACTAAATCAAAACCAGAAAATAAAAATAAACGAAGAAATACATGACGAAAACACTAACTAACACTAAAACCATATAGTCCCACCCCGTTATAATGCCACTGTCGCTCATTGTGCCCCCATAAAGAGATAATAAAACATTACTCCCGCCGCAAACAAGTTCTGACAATCCATACCACTGTTATCCATAATTGCATCCAATACTCCTTTACCTTCGGACACTTCTGCCAGATATGCTGCAGGGCTGCATCCTTCCTAAACATACACACCCTTCTATCCTTATCCAATATCATCCATCTCTCTTTCCTGACTCTCTAACATCTTTCACCACTTCCCTCCTACACACACACCTCTTCACACCCCCTACGCAACCCCTAATCTTACCACCTCACCCGCCCTCTCAACAAGTAACCTCTTTATCGTTTCTCTCACACCTCACTCTTTATCTGCGATCACAGTCATCCTTCCCATCGTCCCTCCTATCTTCTCTCGCATACCGTACCCTACATTCCTCCGCCCATTCCTCACATATCTTCCATGCTTTCTTCCATTTTGTCGCGATCTTCTTAACTGAAACCTCCGAGATTAGTAGGACCCCGTCGTCTAGTACATCCCTCAAGATGGATTTCTGTGGACATCCCCTGCTTGTTTTGTACTTTACACCCTCAGATTCCATGCAGCTATCCTTCAAACCAGTTTCCACAACACACAGTAGGTAGCCGGCACACTCTATTTTATCCAGCGCTCTCAACACACCCGTACTTTATACCGCATTGTCAATAACTTTTCCTACAACGGAAGTCAGGCATATTGGTCTGATCTCGCCATTCGATTTCGGCAACCAAACCACTCTAAACTTCTTACATTCACCCGGGAACCTCTCTTCTCTCAAGCATCCATCAATCACCTCCCTCACCACATTCTTAAATACCTCCCATGACGCACTTATGGATTTCTGCCGTCCGCTAACATAATACTTTTTCACAGGACTCAGTTTTCTTTAGACTGTGTAAAGTCGTTTTAAACATTACATGTGAAAGCAGTTGCCGGTTGGTAAATGTTTTCGCATTACCATTGGTACGACCCTTACATGAATGCCATATCGGCCAATTCAGCATTTGAATAGGCAATACAATCAAGTCATAGCCAAGTCCTTTTTACTTGCGTCCGGGGAACTTAAGTTCCGGTATAAGCACATTTTTTCGGTGAGTCTTTCGGAGGCGACGTTAAGTCGTTGGTCTCGGTACCAGTTATACATTTCTGCAGTCATTAGTACTCTTTCCTCCTAGAAAGGAGGATGACTGTGTTTTGCAAAGTCGAAGCGAAGATCAGGAATCAACACACAAAATTGGGCCGTTACCCCCAATCGAATAGAAAGATAGTCTTTCAAAAAATCGATAAACTATGTAAAAATAGAAGGATTGGTAACATTTTCGGATCCTAAAATTGTTTAATTTTTGCAATAATTAATATTAAAATTCAAAATCCCCTCTATAAAAGCTTTGGTGACGTTTCGAAGTTTTCGCGTAAGATCAAGAAGACACAAACGTGTATCGTTCGGATCTCTTGGTCTAGCGCATAAGATTGTTGTGGCATCTCGCTCACCTTCTATTGATTTTTATTTCAACCAACCGCGTGCGAAACTACGGTGACGTCACCAAAGTTTTTTTTTTTTAATTTTCATTATCTTTTTGAAAAAGTAAAACCCAGTTTGAAAAATAAAAAATTATAGAAGTCTTCAATTTTGCTAAACGATCAAATAAGCCAATAAAAAAATGTGTAACGGCTCTATTGTTCATGTAAAAACAAAGCAAGTTGTACTCAAAGCCAACTTGGAGTAATCGCTAAGTATTAATAGTAATCTGTGTTGTAATAAATCGCACTTTTTGCATTAATTAACACCTTTCAATTCATTTTCGACCGTAGTATACAGGGTGTTTCATGAGGAATGGTACATACGTTAATATGTTAAAGATTTATTCATTTTAAGCAGAAAATTTCCTAAAAACATGTGCTCATTCTCAAAGGTAACTGAGATACAGCCAGTTAATGCATTAATAATTCGGACTTTAAAGGAAGGGTTCGATTATCCCACCGCCTAACTCGATGCACTTGGCTGATCTCTTGAAGATATCACGCACTGTGCGGCGTAATTTATCCTGATGTTAATAATACGAGCGATTAGCCCATCACGCCTGTTTACTTTAACTTGATAAACATCGCTTTTCAGCCATCCCCACATTTCGTAATCTAACGGATTAAGGTCCAGTGACCGAGCTGGCTAACTGATAGGACCCCCACGACCAATCCACCGTTCCGCAAAGGTTTGGTTCAGGTATTGCGTCGCTTGACGGCCGTGAGTACGCAATATTCTCCATACTTTTACATGAGGAACACCAAAACGAGCAGAAAGTCTTCTTGTACTGGTAGATGGACTGCGTCTTACTGACTGAAGAATTTGTTCAGCTTCATTTAGAGTTTGCATACCTGCACGTTGAGAATGAATCTGTTGAATGTTCGAGTAATAAATGGTCTTGAATCGGGTAGCACTCGGTTAGGAAACTGTCTCCTACAGTCACGACAAGTAGCACGTGCATTTCAATTGCAGAAACCGTAACAAAACACCATATTAGTCGACACTTCAACCAAATAATGTTAAATGTCAAACATTGACAAATGACTGTTTCATTAACTGGCTGTATCTCAGTTACCTTTGAGAATTGCGCACATGCTTTTAGGATTTTTTTCTGCTTAAAATGAACAAATCAATAACATATTAACGTATGTACCATTCCTCATGAAACACCTGTATAGAATGATTATATTCGTTTTATACAAAATAATAGACGGAATATACTTCTTGGTAGATTACATATGGCTTGAGTGACTCCCCACAGAGATATAAAAGGTAGCCACGATTTCTTAGCACAATACTTTAGCTATCGAGAGCAAAGCCATTGTCTGAGAATTGGTGGTTAAAATCGAAACATTTTTGACAATGATAAATATGTGGACTAAACTCGACGGCTCAACAATACAAAAACAATAATAATCATCATAGCGGTTGAATACCTTCACGACCTGCTCATGTTCTCCGGGGTCTTCTTCTTTTATACCTTTCTGACGGGATCCACCGTCAGACCTTTTTTGGCCATTTATTCTCGTCCATTCTATTGAAATGCCCATACCGTGTCAACAGTTTTTTCTCAATTCTTTAATGGCGCTATTTGTAATATGCTGGGGTCTAGATATTCTACAATTTCGTCGGAAAGGCTTGTAGCACTCGGTCATATCCTTCTATCCACCTTCTATTCTCTCTCTCTCCAATGGCGCTAGAGCGGAAGTTGAGCTTTAACCTCCAACACTGCCGATCAAGAACCAGGTTCTGATCTTCATGAGTGGTTGTGACCTCCTTCTTAGTCTGTTGCCTTGCATTCTGCTGCTTAAGAATCCTTTTGGAGTTCTATCCTCGCTCATTCATGCCACATGACCAGCACGTTGCGTCTTTGCAATTTGACGAATTCCCGCATTCATAGCACAATATAGGTCTAATGATGGTTTTATAGACTAATTTTTAAGTATTTATCTATAGTTTTGGAAAGGAATACATGTGATAGGGCAAAGTAGGTTCTGTTCGCGGTTGTTCTTCTATTTTGTATTTCTGGTTCTTCCAGTCCTACTAATTTCAACTGCATTAAGTTTAACTCTCTGGTGCATAAAGCTCCTCACTTCTTCAACATTTTCCTATGCTATGGTTGATCGATGTATTGAATATATACATTGAGTAATATTTATGGTGCTCCCTAGCTGTTTCCGTAAATTTGTGACACACTATAATTTATTTAAAAAGTAATAATTTTAAAAAATATTTATTTATTTTATATGTATTTTTTAGGTGAAAACACAGTAAATGGTGATCAATCCGATGCCCATATGAGCACATTATCTCAGAGTAGCAAAGAGGTAAGAGAAAAAAATTTTAAAAACTTTAAATTATTTATTTTATCGATATTAAACTTCCATTTTCCTCGGCCCGAAACAAACATTCTCTAACAATGACTAAAATTAATGAAACTAAATTAACTAAAAAATGATTCTAAACCTTAAAAAAACTAGTAACTATATTCAAATAAAGTATTACAACACTTAAAAGGTAAAAGTATTTATGTCAGATATTGGACAATTCCATATTAACACAAATATAGTAGTCCATAGCCAAAAAGATAACCGTCAGAAGTAATTTCAGAAACGTCGGGAGAGATATCAACACTTTTATTTTGAATCTCAGCTTGCCGACAGCGATATGTACATAGTTTTAACAAAAGCCGATCAGATAAATTGGGGAGGGAAAACAATGTTCCATGTTCGTCAATTATTCCTCTGCAACAATATGTCTATCTACAGAAGCATGGAAATGAAGCATACGTTACAGCGGCTGATAACGGTTTGCGAAGAGAAGTTGCGTACGTGATAGTGGCCAACAAAATGTTAAGATAAAACAGAAGCCTCTTTTAAATCAAATATATTACCTGTATCAAGAAAATACTACTGCAAAATACTTCCCACGCTGATTAAATTTTGCACATTAAAGCTAAAAAAGGACTTACGGAATTATTTATAGAGGTGCCGAACAGTTGTTGATACCTTTAACTTTTATTAGTAAAAATTGGAGAAGAGAAAGGGAACCGAATTATTTTAAGGAACAAGGATTCTCTATAAGCACCTAAGAAGGCGCACACTTCTACTCCCTTTCGATTATAGAGACTACCCAATTCAGAAATAACCCTATTTTTAAACAGAGAAGCAAAAGATTTCCACTTTCAAAAATATGTCTGTTACTACTTAACTAAAGAAACATAGAACTTTTGTCTTCTTTTGCTCCCGCTTGACGTTGAGTTTCGGGACACCTGGTATATACAGTATTGGAAAAAAGTAGAGCAACTTTTAATTTTTGTAAATGAAATTTTAAATTAATGGCTTTACTTAGGGTTTACATCACTATGGTTATATAGAATTTACGTAGTAAAGATTTCACAAAGCTCCTTATTTTATTAGAAATAAAATAAAATTATAAAACTTGGGTTGGAAAAAAGTAAAACAACTTTGCTAAGAAATACAAACATATGGCAAATGGCAAATAAGAACGAGTTTTTGATAAGATACATTCCATAAGACCAGTCCTAAACATGCCTCGTGGTATAGCTGTTTGTAAAACTGTGAAAGAAATGGTTATTAATGATTTTAAAAACCATGTTAAAATAGTATAGCGAATTTTTAAACAATATAGTGAGACGGAACTTGTAGACTTGAAGAAAAGGTCTGGAAGTCCCAGAAAAACCAATGGATGCCTTGATGGAATAATTGTAAAAACAGCTAAAAAATATCAACTTTGTTCTTCAGCCAAAATTAAGGCTGAGGAGTTACAAGAAACACAATTTGGAGGTATCAACACGTACAATACGCAATAGATTAATTGAAAATAAACTATTTGCCCGAAGTACTGCGAAAAAAACACTTCTACCAAAAAAAAAAAAAAACCGCATGACTACTATTTGCACGCACCCATTAAGAGTGGACATACAACGAATGGAAAAGGTATTATTTAGTGATGAATCATAGTTTAACTTATTTAAAAGTGATGGAGTGCAATATGTGAGGCGTCCAATAGGAAAAAGGCTGACTTCTAAGTACAGGGTGTCCCAATTTCGATGTCCGCATAGGCTATCTCCGAAACTAAAAGAGATAATAATTGTCCTTCGACAATTGCGAATATCTCACTTATTATCAAAGATGGAATATTATAAATAAAACATTATATATGCAACTTTTTACGAAGAATTCAGTGGTGTGGGTAGAATTTTTTTCCCATCTTTTATTTTCGAGATTTTAGACGTAACTTTATTTTTTTAAATGAAAACCATAGTTGGCTATGACCTAAAATAATTTGTTATTTTCTTCTGATAACAAATATATATAGTTTGTGGGGTACATTTCTTATAGTTATTGAATAATTAACAAAAATTCATTTTATTCTATCTAAAACTACTTATTGTATGTATTTAAAAGTTAATGTTGTTATGGTTAACCATGGTTAACCATGGTTAACCATACCATGATGGAAAACATTGTTTACAATTATTGCCAAAGTTTATAATAGTATTTAAAAATTCACTAACAACTCTGGCATTATGTGCTGTTGCTCCGTCATATTGAAAATATATCATTTAAGACATATTTAATGGCAAATTGTCGACCAAAGGCTCAATGTGCTACCTTAATATATTGATGTATTTACCTGAGTTTAAGTTTTTGTGGTAGATACTATATGCCAAATATTTATTATCGCACACCATACATTGAACCCCAATCTTCTTTGAACATTCAGAGACTTCATCGGTCCAGATGACATTTTGAACAAACAGCAGATTATTTAATTTTTCTAAATATCATCTACAAAATTCTAATCTTAGATTGACATCTCCGACACGTAAATAATGAGTAAGCCCCGCTTTGTATGGTTTATACTTATTTTTCTTTCATATTCTGGAGCAGCGGCTGTTGGGTCAGACGTCTTGTTCAATTTCTCTGCAAGATGTTGAAAGATTTATCGCAAGTGAAGCCAACACATTGACTTCATCTTCTTGCAGGTCATTTTGGTATGTTTTTGCACGTGGTTTGGGAAAGGACCAAAAATCTATCAAATTTTCTGCTAATCGGCTGAAGGTTCTTACATGCGGTTGTCTTCTTTCCGGATACCTTGTGAAATATAATTCCACGGCTAACGTAGCATTCTTATCTGATAACATATAGCATTCCATCATGTTACATTTTTCATAATTTTCGAAATTCATTGTAAAGTTTTATTCAGTTTTGTTATACTTTGACACTTTAACATGCTGGTGCTTCGTACCAGCACATAATGCCAGAGTTGTTATCGAATTTTTAAATACAAACTTTGGCAATTATTTGANTGGCTATTTCCCCAATTGGTAGAAGACGAACCAAATAACTTCACTTTGCAGTAAGATGGTGCATCGCCTCATTAGCATAAAGAAATACGCGATTGGTTGAACGTCACGTATCGACTTGAATTGTGCCGTGTGAAGCTTACAAGTATTCAATGGTGGTCACAGTGAACACTTGTAAGGTATAACTGTTTGTGTTACTCTTTCATTTCATGTATTAATTATGATTTTAAGTTTCATGTAATAAATACTACAAAGCGTTAAAACCCCCATATTCTTTTAGAAACACGCTGTATAGTATGTAAAGCAACAAAATATGAAAATTAAAGATATTAACCGTTATTTCGAAATTTAACGTAACACTGTGCGTTACGTTAACACTTTCGCGTCCGCTCAACATACAATTAGGATAACGTCAATGGCCGGCATCTTCACTACGTATTGTTACGCCAGGAGCCGCAAGTAATGTCATATAAACGTAAAAATACGTGAGCGGCGCCTGACTATGGACAATATATAAACGTAAAAATACGTGAGCGGCTCCTCACTGATGACAATATAAAACGTAAAAATACGTGATCGGTCACGAAAGTGTTAAGAAATGTTATGGAACCTTATGCCGACGAAAATCTGATTATCTCTTATAAATTTAGGACAACGAACAAAATAAAATAAATTTGATGACTTGGCCGTCACAGTCACCAGACTTAAATCCTATAGAAAACCTATGGAAAATAGTTGGCGATGTATGTATGTAAGGAACGGAAGTGCATGCGTTCCCGCACACCGCACTTAGGCCCCCTTGGACCCCTATATATATGACGTATAACATGTTGGGTGCAGACTCCCAACATAACCTCTTTTCACATCAACCAGCTTAGGGAATTACCGAAGGCCAGTACTACTCGGAGGTAAGTTCCTGATATCATCTGTGGTCGGCCATGCCTCCCCGAGGGTCCTCATTCTGAGGTCTGCTAGAGAAGGGCAATCACACAAGATGTGTCTAGGGCCTCGTCGTCCTGTTCACAGGCTCGACAGAGAGGAGATTTTGCAAGCTTCAAATTGTGAAGGTGCTTGTTTACCTTACAGCGTCCCGTGAGGAGACCTGTGGCTTACCGGAGGGCGTTTCTTCCAAGCCCTACGAAAAACTGAGTTGTAATTTTCGAAGGATATTTTAACAAATCCTTAGCAAGATAGCAACTTCGTATCTTGCTAAGCACTTCGTATTCGAGGATGATGGGAAAAGACCCCCGCTCCCGCCCCGTTCCGTCTTTTTGAGTCATCAGTGTAGATTTTTAAGGTCTTATTCGCATCTACTACTGTGGCACTGATGTAGGTGGGGTAATTTCTTGAGAAAACGTATGTTGCTGACAAGCAGTCCGTCTTGCACTCGAGTGGGGATGAGTCCAGCACAGCCCCCCTCCAGAGTGCCGAACTGCCGCCAACGCCCCCCATCCTTCATGATTCCTACCGATTATAGTCTTTTCATGGTTACCAGCGCCACTTCCTGAATATGTAGGTCTAGTGGTGGCAGGTTAAGCATGACTTCCATGGCCGTGGTGGGAGTAGATCGCAGCGCACCTGTAACAAAAAGACACGCGAGTCTGTATCCTATTTAGCGCGGTGGTGGCGGTGGACTTAGAAGTTCTGTTCCACCGCACCGTAAGTAAGCATTGGTCGGATTACAGCCGTGTAAATCCATAGGGCTATGTTGGGGGACAACCCCACGTTTTCCCGACAGCCCTACGGCATTGGCCGTAAGCGACGCATGCTTTTTTTACTCTATTATCTAGGTGGGATTTTCACGTTAACCTGCTGTCTAAAATTAAGCCCAAGTACTTAACCTCTGTAGATAGTTTAAGTGGAGTGTTAGCGAGCATTGGCAGTTTGGGGTTGCCTATGTTGCGCATGCGTGTAAAAATAACCATCTCTGTCTTCTTGGCATTGGCATTTCATCAGGCTATCCAGGGTGAGATTTCACAGAAGTGGAGAAAGAATCCTCCCTTGCGAACAGCCTCTGGTAACAGCCCTTTGTAGGGTGGCATGGCCAGCCCTTAATTTAACGATTGTATGCCTTAGAGTGCTCTCGATTCAACCACATAGGGTCGGAGGAACGTTATGCTCTAACAAGGCCTCGTTTATTCCGGAGAAGGTGGTTCTGTCAAAAGCGCCTTCCACGTCAATGAAGACACCCAGGACGGACTCTTTAAGGTCCAGAGCATCACCAACGAAGCTGGTCACCGTGTGAAGAGCTGTTAGTGTGGATTTTCCCTGAGTGTAAGCATGTTGATTAGAGTCTAGTGGCCTGGTGCAAAGGCAAGTATCTGTAATGTAACGGTCGCAAAGTCTCTCCAACGATTCAGTAAAAAGGAGGAGAGACTGATTGGTCTATATGACTTCGGGAGAAAGTAGTCTTGCTTACCCGGTTTAGGTATGAAGTTAACCGTGAGATCACGCCAACTTCCCGGTACGTAGCGAAGTGCCAGGCAACCCTGGAAAATTCTCTTCAGGTACGGTAGCACGTCGTCCAGTCTCCATTTGAGTTTTGAACCGTTTTTTCCTCCCCACAGATGATTTTGGCCAAGCCCCAATCATCTGCTACGTACCATCCGCTGTTGGTACGTAGCTTGTCTCTGGTTGGACAGCGTTGGTGTTGTCGGAACCTGAGAAATGAACAGACATTAGAAGCTGTAAACTTTCTTGCAGGTTGTTGTTATAGGAACCATCATCCTTCTTCATTAACCCAATTCGTCGTTCTGGGCTCGCAGCGAGCACCTTCTTCGTGCGGGAGACTTCGTTAGAGGAAGTAATTTCCTCACAGAAGGCTCTCCATGCTGCTCGCTTCTTTTGACGAATTGTTTTGTTGACGATAAAATTCGAAATAAAATTTACAAAAATGGTGTCGAATTGTTCACTGTTTTTTAAAATGCATGGTCTAAAATATCGAAAAAACCATTGACAATTTAATACATTCAATGTCACGAAGGTATCACGATGGCATTAATAATAAAGGAGATTATATTAAGTACTAAAAATCTTTGCTTTTTATTCAGTTTAACTGTTATTTACCTATAAATTGTTAAGTTGTTCTACTTTTTTCCAACAACTTTTGCAATTCTGTTTAATTTCTATAAAAATAAAGCTATCTTTGTCAAATTTCGGCTACACAATTCCTACATAATACACATTATTAAATTTAAAATTTAATATAAAAAAATTAAAAGTTGCTCTACTTTTTTCCAATACTGTATATATAATTGTATTAATATTAATAAAATTGTAGGATCGCTCTATATCGGAAGGATCACCGAAAAAGGACAAGAAAAAGAAGAAAAAAGGATTTAGGACTCCATCCTTCCTAAAAAAGAACAAAGAGAAGAAAATTCGCGAAGCATAGAGGTAAAAATTTATAAAATATTTAGATGAGACTAGAAATAATTATTTATTCTTTTTTAGTATCACTGCCTTTAGACTTATATACGAAAGCGAAACAAATTAAAAAAAAAATTGTTCAACCTCCATCTCTGGATGACTGCCATCGTCAAAAAGTAAAATTAAGTTTCAACTTACACATAATATACAAACGTCTTTAGGAGCAGCTGCTGTGGATCATTTTGTCAACGACGAAACGAACTTAAAAACGCAAATAATTAAGTAAAAAAAGTTAAGTAATTAAAAAAACGTAATTTCTTTATTATTAATGATTTTTAATATGGTCTAAGACGGAGATAATAAATTAAAAAGCAACAAAAATATGAAAGTAAAAAGGAATATTATATATAAATTATAATTTTTAGCTTTATTTGTACAGCAGAAACATTGATTATTATATTATTATATTATATTATTATATACCATGATTATATTTGATTAATTCTAATTGTTGAAGTGCGACTCTATATGGTGGTTATTTTTTCTTTTTTTTTGTTAGATAGATTTTTATATATCTACTATTATAGGCGGAACAAGATTAAAAAATACTGCTTTATGATTCATCAAATTCTCCTTTACCATTTTTACCTTTATTATTTTTTCCTAAGCTATTGTTTTTTTTAAATATATGTAATTAATTTTATTGTATTGAATGAGAATTATTATTTTGATAGTGGCTTAAGATTTAAATTACTTTCGCCACGCTCAAAGTAAATAACTCGCATATTTTTTATATATACACCTGTGAATATGTTTAGCCTTTAATAGTTAATATATGCATATATATATATACAATACGAATTATATATAGAATTATTAATTTATGTATAACAGACGACAAAAAAATGTATTTGCAATTTTGAGGTACATATTTTTTTTATAAAAAACGTGCTAACAATAAATAAAATAATAAATGTCTGTTCGGTAGCTAAAACGATACATCACAAAAAAAAGTTTTGTGCCATTTTTTTACATTAACGATCTTTAGAGGTTCAAAAAAAGTAATCTTAACCGAACAATCGACTCAACAAAAAAAGTTCCACAAAAAATAAATCATAATTCATTCATCGACTTTAATATTAAAGTTTTGTCAGAAATTTTTCTTGCACAAACCCTAAAATTAAAATTAAAAACTATAAAGACTCTTATAGTTTGAAAATCCGTTTTTTAAAATGTCCGTAGCTTTTAACATTTAAGATAAAAATAAAAACGCTTTCGATTTGCTGAACTTCCGCTATTTATCAATTTCTTCCCGTTGAAATTAAAAAAATCAAATAAAAGTAAAACTTAAAAAAAAATAAACATTGTGATAAAAAAATCTTTCATAAACAACATTTAAAAATAAAACATAAATATATACAAAATGATAAAATGTGCATTTAAAACTTTTCTATAATTTTTTCTATTTTTTTTCTCTATGAATTTCTTTTGAGAAATGAGTTAGTACTTATTGTATTATCTTGACCACAATCACCCCACTCTTGTTGCGAATATGTCACGCACACGAACCACCACTACGTTTTTAATTTGTATCCTTTTGCTTACGTGTTATCCGTGAAAGCGAAAGAAATGCATTCTAAAATAGCCTCATAGGACCTATACATTCTTGTCCAGTGCTAAAAATTATGTGAAAAGTATAAAAATGTCTAATTAAGTTTATTGAATATGGAATATAATGATTTGTTGATTCAAAAACAAGAATGTTTTAGGTTTGAGCCCCAACAGAATTACTTTCTGAACGTAAATATATTATATGACTTTTCTTTTCAATGACTTTATTTTTGTTTTTATTGAATGTCTATGAACAACTTCAAAATTGATTTCAATATGATTCACGTACTAATAAAATTGTGTTATTGAATTCTTGGTTGCTTATTTTACCTAAAATGTATCCTATATTGAAGTATGATTAATAATAAATAAGTATGATAAATGTAAAACTAATCATGGAGGCATACAATCAATTATTGATCATAGTGCGGCTGCTGGCTTCCCAAAAATTCTTCTTCCATTCATCTTTATTCCGTGCAGCTATCCTCTAGCCACTAAATCAAACCTTGGCCTCGTCTTTTGCTATCCCTGTGGTTTGATATGCATAATTCTCCTCAGCGCATGTGTACAGGAGTGTACCCAGTAGAGGTGTTAACTGATACTTGTACCTGTTACTTTGGAACAGGTATTTGTATGCTGTTCCTTGGAACTGTTACCAAATTTAAAAAATAACAGGTACAAAATAACTACAAAGATTTGATGCACTGTAGATTGGCAAATGAATTTGATATTCTAATAATGAAACCTAAGCTCCTATTCGCCTTACTGATAATTTTCTCTACATGATATAAAAATATCAGTTTGGAATGGAGCACTAAGCCAAGATGCTTTACCTTGGACCAGTGTTTTTCAACCTGTGGGTCGCGATACCTCTGTACGGGGGTCGCGAGAACTTAGTAAAAAAAATCAATAAATTTCAAAAAGGTAGATATATTAAAAAAAGTTAACAAAATGATACTTGTTATGTTGTTTATACAAACACCTTAACAAAAAATAAAATCTTCGAGTACTTGTTCATTTTAAAGTAAAGGTTGCGCTTGAGTTTGTTCAATCAATTTCTCCCATCGTGGATCCGTTTTTGCAACTTTAAGTATTAAATCGTTTTCCAAATTTAAGCGATTTCTTAGTTTACTTTTTATTTGGGCCATTGATGAAAATGCCAACTCGCACAAGTACGAGGTAGAAAATGGAATCAAACACTTCAAAGCCTCGGTTGTTAATTCCGGGTATTCTGTTTTTCTTTTTAACCAAAAGGTATCCAAATTTTCAGACTTGAATTCCAAGTGTAACATCCCATTGGCAGATAATCCCAGCAGATTCTCTTTGAGCTTAGTTGCTAAATTTGCCTCATTTATAGCTGCATTTAAAAACGGATTTAAGATCCATCTTTGCCCAGTGTTAATCGATATCTCTTGCATTGAGAAGTAATGACACAACTCTTTCTTCAAATTATCTAACACCATTTTCAAAACCAGATATATATGAGTTAATGTTTATCTCGCTTCCGTCTTCTTCAATGAAAGACTGTGCCGACGAAAATGAATCAAAGTTGTTTTGATTTATAGATGATGACCATAATTCAATTTTTTTTATAGATTTTATAGATAGAGTTTGTCTTTTGCTGTAATGACATTTTCAGCCCGCCCTTGAAGACTTTTATTCAAGTTATTTAAATGCTCAAATAAGTCGGAACGAAAAGCCAATTTCAAAAGAAATTTCGGGTCAGAAATGAATTCAGAGTAATGTGAGTTGGCTTGTTGTAAATATACTAATAGTTCAGCGCGAAGTTCCATAACTCTGGTCAGTACTTTGCCTTTTGATAACCACCTAACCTCTGTATGGTAAAGCAAATTGCGGTGTAGTGCCCCCATATCTTCACAAATGATTCGAAACAATCGAGTCTGCAACGCTTTTCCTTTGATAGAATTTATAATGTTAATAATAATATTTAGAACTTGACTGTATTCTTGTGGCAAGGTTTTGGCTGCAAGAGCTTAGCGATGGAGAAAAGCAACAAGCGTTTGGCATTTGTTCTTTCAGTCTAGCAATAAATCCACTCTTCGCACCAGTCATGGCTTTTGCTCCGTCACTACAAATAGCAATGCATTATTGTGCCCAATCGATAATCATATCTTGCGTAGCTTCAACGAACATGTCTTGCAAGAACTGACCTGTGGCATTTTTGGGAAGTGCCTTGCAAAATAGTATTCCTCCATTAATATTTTATTGGATTCAAAACGCACAAAAGCTACAAAGTGCGCACAACCCGCAATATCCGTTGATTCATCAAAATGCAAGGACACAAAAAAACTTTTCTTTATTTTTTCTATGACTTGATCACGAACGTTAGTCGCCATATTGTTTATCCTGCGTTGAATGGTATTGTCAGAGAGAGGTATACTTTTGAGCTTTTCGACCTCTTGTTTGCCAAACATATCTCTGCTATATCTAAAGCCGCTGGTAAAATCAAATTTTCGGCAATACTGTGAGGTTTTCCTGCTTTAGTCACACGAAAAGCTACTCGATAACTGGCGAGCAACGCTTTCTCATTTAGGTTGAACATTTATCCTATAGCAGTTTTTTGATGTTCAAGAGCTTTTAGTTTTCGCTCAAAAAATTCCACGGGTTTATTTTTTTCATTAGGATGTTTTGTGTTTAGGTGGCGTACCAACTTCGATGGTTTCATGGTTTCTCTTGACAAAATTTCAAAGCAAATTATGCACTGCGGTTTATTCTCAATCAGAGTAAACCCCAATTTGAAATAATTGTCGTCATAAAGACGTTTTTTCTTTATTCCACTACTCCCGCTAGACGTTGATGGTCTTTTTAGGAATTTATCCATTTTCAATTATAACAAACAACTCAAATAAATACTACTTGCACTCAACTGCCGTGGCCGCGGTTGAACTGATTTATAGGGTTATAGGCCAGCGCATTCTAGCGAGAATCATTGCGAAGCGTAACGAAACGTCTCGGAACTTGTGAACCTTTCGCGCGGGGGAATATCAGCGCCATCAGACGGCGCTGGGAGTTTCGGCCCTAACAAATACAAACAATTGTATTTGTTTGTTAGTTATCAATTGGCCACGTATTCGATTTAAAATTACATTTTTTACGTACTTAATTATATATTTAGGTATACCCGAATCCTAATAACGCAAACGCCTAAAATTTTTGTATGGATTAAATATTTTTAACATACATGAAAAAAAGGGTCGGGGGGTCGCGATATATTTTTTGATACTAGGGGGGTCGTGTCATGAAAAAGGTTGAAAAACACTGCCTTAGATAACACGCTTAAGGGTCCGGGTCCAAGCTCATAGTTATGATTTACAGTGTATCTTTTTTTGGTGAACGTCATTTGACTGCATTTACTATAGTTTAGAAAGAGATAATTATTAGTACAGTAGGTTTGCAAACCATTAAGATCCATTTGAAGTTTTTCGCAATCAGAAGAAGATTCAACCTTGGAAAATATTTTACAATAATCAGCATATAGCAAAAAATTACTAAGCACTAATAAATATCGTTTATATAAGCTACAAACAGAACCGGACCCAAGTGACTACCCTGAGGCACTCCTGAAATGACCGGAATAAAGTTAGAAATGTAATTATTAATTTTTACAGCCTGGCATCTCTCAGAGATATAAGACGCCAATCACATTAATAATCCATCAGCCAAGTCAAATTTTTGTAATTTGGTCAAGAGTACCCCATGATGTAGCTTGTCAAAGGGTTTACTGAAATCAATGAATACAGCTTCGATGTGGTGATTTTCATTTAGACACGTTTGAATGTAATTTATATAGGACACGAGATTGGATTCTACAGATCGGGCACGAAGAAAACCATGCTGCTACTGCATAATAAATGGTTGTATTGAACTGTATATTTTATCATAAACAATTTTTTCGAAAAACTCAGATAAAATAGAAAGAATAGAAATAGGGCGGTAATTTGAAACACAATTTCTACCTCCACTCTTATAGATGGGAAGTAAATACCTTTTTTTCCACTCTAATGGAAACACTGATTGAGCCAATTAGCGACTAAGGATAATGAAGAGCGGTTTAGCAGGTTCTGAGGCGTATGTCGCTAAGAAAATGGCAACCCGTCAGGACCTGAACTCATCTTATTATCAATTCTAGTGAGGGTCTGCACCACATTCTCTTTCAAGCTTTAATGTAAAGGTGTAAGTGTGTAAGTTGTGTCAAAGTTGCAAACTGTGATTGCAGGTGTGGGAGAAGGGAACGCTCCAGGTGGCGATAGTCTTAATTGGAATCCTATAAGAGCGAGTGGTTGTTTATCGGAATGTATTTTTTCCCAGAAGTGTGGAATAGGGCTAGAGTTATCTGGTTTCCGAAGCCGAATGAGTGAGTTATACCAGTAAGCAACCATCGGTAAGATACTGGACAGCATGATTGCGGAGTGATTATTAGTATATGTAGAGAAGAATAGTAGGTTGGTTGAGAGATAGTATGAGTTTAGGAGAGACCGGTGAAAGGAATCGTAAGGAAATCTAGGGAAAGTAAGGTAAACGGCTGGGCGTTGGATATGGATAACATTGAACGCAGTATGAGTGTATTGAGTTATACAACCGTTTGCGAAAATGACTTACTTTGTGAAATAGAATGTTTTTTGAATGGAAGAAATAAGGAATGTGAGGGGGTTAGCTTGGTTGCTAAAATGCTGTCGCTCTGGATCTATGCAATGAAGGAATGGTTTGGGAAAGTGAAGAAGGTGTTGGACCAGACCCATTCCCTGGAATCCAGATTCAGATCCATCAAGTATGATGATCAGGTCGTTCTGTTATCCGATATATTAGTAAAATAGATTAAAAGAAAATGGTAAAACTATAGAAGGTTTTCGTAGAATAGGCGGAGGGCTGTAAGGTTAAGTACTCAATAGGAAAATTGGGGGATTAAGTTGAAAATTTGTTCGGTTAAAATGGTTTGCGTAGTTAGTGTGGTTTTCCGCCCCCTTTTACTGCTGAAAATCACCATAAGGAGAAAGCCTCAGAGGAAAGAAAGGAATATAGTAACAGTTATAGGAGTGTGTCAAAGGGCTCAATGAGTGTAAATGCAACGTCCAAAGTTAAGGGTAGTAAACAGAGAGTATTGGTTTTGGCGGCTAGTCATGGTCATAATGCAGGTCAATTTTTGGAAAGATTCTTAGACTCTACCTATGAAGTATTTAGTATTTGTAAACCTAATGCGAGGTTTGTCTCAGTGTTGGAAAATGTTGATCAGCTTACGACAAATTTCACAAAAGATGACTTTGTTTTGGTCATGGCGGGAGTTAATTATATACTTGGTAATTCAAATTTTCCACGGGCTGTCTATGATAAATGATAAGCTAAAACTAATACACAATCGATGTAATCTTTTGTATTTGTCGATTCCCTACTTGGAAAATAAAATTGATGTAAACGATAGTATTTATAAAATTAATTGTAAAGTTTTTGATTTCTTGTTTAAACTGGATAGATCTAATTGTTCGTTTATCGTCGTAAATGGTCTTTTATAAGCCTCAGATAGAACTAAACATGCGAACATTCATATGTAACCATATGAATGTTCGCGGTAAATCCAAAGTATTTGAGCATACAGCTCAAATTATGAAAAATATCTCTGGGTCTAGTCATAGATCTTCAAATATTGTAATAATGATCAGGTGAAATCACGAAATTTTTATCAAAAGCGCAAGATAGTAAAAACAACATAGCTCCATATATGAAGTCACAAAAAATGATAATATAAAGCTGCAAAGACATAAACTCCTTCAGATATATAATAAACGCATTATACAATCAAAAATTAATTACAATGATCAGGTACTTGCTGATTTTGGTGACTCTGGTAAAGCAATGTGGAGGTTGATTAATAAGAGTAGAGTCGAAAAAAGTAGTAGAGTAAATGCAAATTTTCCACCAGATGAGATAAATAACTTTTTTGTTGATATTCCGTATAAAATCTTAGAATCAATTGAAAAGAATGAAGTAACTACTGAAACATTCGATAATTATTTAAATAAAATAAACGTCGAAGGATATAATTTCTCTTTCATGGAAATATCCTTCGTTGAGTTGCGTGATATCATTGATTCCCTTAAATCAAAGTCAACTAGGGATATATACGGTTTTAATGTTAACTTAATAAAGCAAATCAAAAACTTGATTATACGAACGGACGGTGCCCTAACATACAGTCTCTTTCTGCTGTAAAGTTTTTGGGCGTTTATCTTGATTCCGGGCTGTGCTGGGAGGAACATATTTTGACATTATATAATAAATTAAGTGGCAGCATCTATTTGTTGCGAAACCTGCGCTCGAACGTATCTCCACTAGTTTTACGCACAGCATACTTTGCGCTGTGTCAGTCCTCAATGACTTATGCATTGTTAGTCTGGGACTTTGCTGCTGGTTTTGAACGCGTATTTAGAATGCAGAGATGGGCTATACG